AAAATCATATGTTAGTCTATCGGGCGGTGCGGGGGGCGGTGCGCGCTGGCGGTGGGGGTGCCGGCGGTGCAAAGGGGAGCTGCCCGCCGGTGGCGGGGAAGAGGTCGGCGGGCGGTGCGCCTGCCCGGGGGAGGGGAGGGGAGGGGAGGGGAGGGGAAGGGAGGGGGTCAGGGGAGGGGGGAGGGGAGGGGGGAGGGGAGGGGGGAAGGGTCGGCGGGCGGTGTGGCGCCTGCTCGCGCAACGGTGTGCGGGAGGAGGCGCCAACAGCCAGGGTGGTGGAGGAGGAGGGCGGCTGGGCGGCGGGGTGCTCGCCTTGGCTCGCGAAGGCGTCTGGAGGCGAGGGCGCGAAGAAGTCTGCCTGCGTGCCGTGGGGCTGCCCCTGGGACGGCGGGAAGGTCTCCTCTGGCGCGAACGGGTCGCCTTGCGTGTGGCCGACCTAGAGGAGACGTGCCGGGCAATGTCCTCGGCGTGTCGCGGGCGTGCCGTGGAACCCGCGGGGTGGGGGAAGCGAGTGGGCCTCCGAGGCGAGAGAGGGGGGCGGGGTCGGCGCGTGCAGCGAGGATGCGGCGAAGGGGTCGAGCAAGTCGACCGGGGTGGCGTTGGCTGGCGCGAGGGCCTGCGCCGGCGGGTGGGAGAATGAGGAAGGGTTGTGGGGGGGGGAGAAAGGGGGAAGGGGGGGGCGGGAGGGGGGGGGGGGGGAGTGTGGGATATATGCGGCGGCACCTTTGCGTTCGCCTGGGAAGCCGCCGCCGCGCGCGCGCGCACCGACGGAGCAATGCTGATTGGCGCCCCCTCGCCCCCTCCTCCCGCCTGCGGCCTCGCCCGGCCCTCGGTCGGCCTCGCGCCGCCCAGCGACCCTACCGGAAGAGTGCGAGAACCTTCGCGGAACCTTCGGGCCACCCTCCTCGCAAGAGGGAGAGACACCGATCCGGACGGTGCCGAGGGTGGAGGCCGGCTCCGCGCGCGACGGGCCTACGCGCAAGCGCACCCGGTCACCCAGACGAGGGAGAGCGGGCGGACGGGGCTCGCTGCGCGCCGCCGCATCCGCCGAGCAGGTTTGCCTCTTGCGGCGGCGGCGCGCCGCCACCCGCGGGCCCACCCGCAGGCCGGATCCGAACGGCCATCCGGCGGGGCTCCTCGCCGAGATCGCGATCTCGCCCGAGGTCACGATCTCCGCCGCCGTCGCCGCTGATCTGCAGGTTGGACGCCGTCGGCGCAGGCCGGTAGCCGCCGCCTCCGCCGCCTCCGCCGCCTCCGCCGCCTCCGCCGCCTCTGCGCGGAGTGCCGTCTGCCCACAGGTCGCCTGTTCACAGCTAGAGGTGTGAAGAGTGCCGTCTGCCCACAAGTCATGCCCCCCGCCGCCGGGAGCGCGGCCTCCGCCTCCTCCTCCCGCGTGGCCGTCTCTCTCCCCAGGGCGGCGCCCCTCCCCGCCACGGTAGCCCCCGGGGCTGCCGCGGCTTTTGCTCATCATGCGAGCAGCGTTCTCGCCCCCGTAGTAGTCGTCGTTGCTGCTGCTGGTGCTGCGGCTGTTGTTGTTGCGGCCGAATCGCTCATTGGCCGCCCGCACCGCCGCCTCGTCGCGGTCGTAGGACCGGCCGCTGGGCAGGGGAGGGGGAGAGGGGAGGGGGCGGGAGGGGAGGGGGGGCGGGAGGGGAGTGGGGAGGGGCAGTGGGGTAGAGAGCGGGGCGGCGAAGGCGGGGCGGTGGGGGGCGAGGGAAGGTCCGGGGGGGGGGGGGGGGGGGTTTCCGGCTTGCCCTTCCTGCTCGGGTAGGGGGTCCTGCCCACCTTCGGGAAGGTCCCTAGCCCTTTTCAAACCCCTTTCAAAACGGCTCCGCGAGGCTTTCCCCTGGGGCCCCCTGGCCAACCGGGTCCGGGCGGGGGGCCCTCCCGTCCCAGCCCAAACCCTTGTTGGGGCCCCATGAGTACAAACCTTCGGCCCTCGGACAGAGGCTTCCAGAGGGGCCTTGCCCACCCGGACCCCTTCCGGGGAGAAAGGGCGGACCCCACTTCATTTTTGGGTCCCGCGGGGGCCGAGGTGCGTCCCCCGAGCCCAAGCCCTCTTTGGGACCCCACCCTTCTTTCTGGGACGGCTCGGGGGGCCGGGGGCGGCCCTTCCCCTCTCGCGGTTTTTTTGGGCCTGGGAAGGCCTAACCTCCGCTCTAGGGGACCCGCGCCTTCGGCCAGGTCAAAACCACCTCCAGAACCATTTTGGGGGCCACCCCGAGAGCAGTCCCAAAAGGGCTTCCGAAAAAAGTTGTGGAGAAAGTTGGGAGGAATTTTTGGAAAGTTGGGAGGACCCTTGTTCCGGGAGGGGGCCGTTAGGGGCCGCCCCCCCCCTTTTATTTTTTTAGGCGGACCCGTTTCTTTTTCTTGGGGTGGCGGTGGCTCCATTTCTCCTTCTTCCTTCTTTGGGGGGGGGTTCCGGCCCTTTTTTACGGCTCCCCCCCGGCCCTTGGTTCCCCCCCTAATTCCCCCCCTGCTTTGGGAAGACTTGTTTTCCGTTTTCGGTTTCTTCCGGTTCGGGGGGGGGGGGGGGTGTCGGGCTGGCCATGCCTGCTCGGGTAGGCGGTCCTGCCGACCTACGGGAAGGTCCAGAGCCGCTTCAGAGCCGCTTCAGAGACGGCTCGGCGAGGCTTGCCCCTGGCGCCACCTGCCCAGCCGGCTCCGGCCGGTGCGCCCTCCCGTCCGAGCCGAAGCCCTGCATGCGGCCCGACGAGTACGAGCCTACGGCCCTCGGACAGAGGCGTCGAGAGGCGCCTCGCCCACCCGCACCCCTCCCGCGGAGAAAGGGCGGACCCGACTCGATCTTCGGCTCGCGCGGCGGCCGAGGTGCGTCCCCAGAGCCAAAGCCCTGCATGCGACCCGACCCTCCGTACTGGGACGGCTCGGGCGGCCGGGCGCGGCCCTGCCCCTCGCGCGGCTTCGTCGGGCCTGGGACGGCGTAGCCTCGGCTCGAGGCGACGCGCGCCTGCGGACAGGTCAGAACGACCTCGAGAACGACTTAGGGAGCGACCCGGAGAGCAGTCCAGACAGGGCTCCGGAGGAAGGCTGGGAGGAAGGCTGGGAGGAAGGCTGGGAAGGCTGGGAGGAGGCTGGTACGAGGAGGGGGCGGGGAGGGGCGGCGCGCGCGTTGAGCTCCTCACGCCGCACCCGCTCCTCCTCCTCGCGCTGCCGCTGCCTCCACTCCTCCTCCTCCCTCCTCGCGCGCGGGTCCGGCCGCTGGTACGGGTCGCCGCGGCCGTGGCTCGCGCCGTAGTCGCGCCTGCCTGCGTAGCCTCGCTCCCGCTCCGGCTCCTCCGGCTCGGGGCGGTGGGTCGCCCCGTTGCTGCCGAAGCCCTGCATCCGGCCGGTCGAGTAGGCGCCCGACTCGAGCCGCGGAGGTCCGCCTGTCGGAAGAGCGGGCGCCACGCTGGCGGAGGCGCGAGCGGTGCGCGGCGGGAGAGGCGGGAGCAGACGAGCAGGGCTCGCGTGCTGCAAGGGGTGGCAAGTGGCGAGCTGCGCCGTGCAAGAGATGCGCCAGGGCGGAGCGGGCAGGGGAGCAGGCACCGAACTGCTCCTTTCCTCCAGCGTGCATTCCAGTGGAGGTGCTGGAGCCGCCGTACTTGTCCTGGAGGTTGCCAATGGCGTCGGCGGCTATCTCGTCCGCCACAGCGATAGCGCGGCGAACGGCCTGCATATCGCAACACGGAGCACGGAGCCAGCGCAGCGCACTGAGCCACAAGCAGCGTGCGCTTCGGCGCGCCGAACCGCAAGCGAGAAGATTTTTTTTTCGCGTCTCGAGAGAACAGGTAGGACAAGGAGATAAGAATTCAACAACGAAGAGTCTCGATAAGAATTTTACAAACAAACTCCCTCGCACGACACTGGGCACGGGACTGGCGCGCACTGGCACTAACACAGGTACACCACGGGAGCCGCCTAAGCGACTCCCGCGAGGACGGCGAGGCACTTAGCTCCGTGCACTCGACCGCCCTTTTTAGATGTACTTAGCGTAGAGCTCTACAAGAAAACACTGGGGCGGGACTGGCGCGTACAGACAGCAGCTGTAAGTAGCATGCGTTCCAGTGCGCAGTGGCGAGAATTTATGGTCGGCATCAAAATCAGTGGTCTCACCGGCGGGCCCTCCTACTGCCAACCGGGAGGTGCGGGGCACGCCAGCCTCTCTTTTACGCCTCTCTCGTGCCTCGCGGCGCCTCTGCTTCAAGGAGGGAAGATACGGCTCTCGCAGCCCATCATACGCCGTGGCACAGCGGGGAGCTCAGCGGGCTGTACAAGATATTGTTCCCTATCTTCGCATGCTCGTCATTGGTGATCGATAGGCTAGGGAGATCAACGCTGATCGATCAACGTCAGCCGAGACGCCCGAGTGAGTGGCTCACTAACTATACGGCTTTTAGCGTGTGGTATTACAAAATAGACTCCCCATGGTCACAAGTCTTTAGTAAAACGCCAGCACTCGACACGACGAAGGTGTATTGGGCTCGAAGGCGCGGTGAACACAACCGCCTCGAGCGTACCGCTCAAACACGAGCCGAGGGTGGAGGGGGGGGGGCGGCGGCGAAGAGGCGGGAGAGCTGGGCGGTCCAGTGCGCTCTGCTGCTGGGGGGGTCAGACCCCCCCCCTAGCAGCAGGGATGAGCTTAGTTGTGCAGGGGGGGTACCGAGCAGTGTGCGGCCGCTCAAACACGGGTCTCCCCGAGGGTTAGTCCGCGCTTTGGGTTTCCCCTAGCGGCGGAGCGCCCCCTCTACTCGGAGCTAAGAAACACTCTCAGCGTCGCGTAGAAATTTTTCCTCGGGGTTTGTGGTAAAATTCTTTTTGAGCTAGCCTTCGATGTTATGAAACAAACGCAAGGCGGACACACACACATGCGACATGGCACATCACTGCTCTCGGGCCCACGACCCAACCACTCCGGCTCCCGACCGCGCGGCGAGCAAGAGGAAGAGCAGGCGCGTGAGCCCAAATTTTACTAGAAATCATTTCCCCTCGCGTTACACAATCTTGATTTTGGTGCGCCCAGGCACCTGCCACATGCATACATGTACATGTGCAACAACAACAACAACATGTACATGTGCATGTGATCGTCCACTCGGCGGGGTCGCAGCTGCCTCGCGTCCTTGGGAGGTACAAAAGTGTCGCCGCCGGAGACGACTCGACGCCGCTGAGATCGGAGATCAAGCTCTGACAGGTCGCACGTCGCTCCTTTGACGCGCCGACGGTGACTCGCCCGTGCAGAGCGCATCAGGAGACGGTCTCGACGCGCTCGGTCCGACGCCTGCGACCCGTCTCGGGTCAGGTGGCACGACGCTCATCGCGCCTGCCAGCTGACACTTTGCGGCACCATCATCGGACGATGTCGACGAGTTGGGTCGTTGCCAGATCGCAGATGATCTCTCATTACTCATACTACTTACCTAGGATATCAAATATCCATCGAATATCGGTCTCTCGCGAACCCCCGGATGCCGGAAACGCATATATGTCTGATAATATGTGATATGAGCAAGACGTCCAAAATAGGATTGTAGACTGCTTTGGAACAGCTCGCGTGTCGCGACAACCGACAACTAACAGTACATGCACGCACTACCCCACGAAAGCCCCACGCGCAGCTCGACCGAGCGAGGCTACCGTCTACCGTGGTGTACCCACATCTGGGGCCAGCTAGTGGCCCCGGGCGGGAGAGGAGGAGATCCGCCCGCTCGCGGCGGCACCGTACGCTGCGTCCCTCCACCTCCCACCCCCTCGCGGCTGGCTGCGGCAGCCCGAGCGAGCGTCCGCCCGCCGCACTCCTCCCCGTCAGTCGAGCCCCTCCGGGCAAGTAAAGAGGCAAGCGACCGCCGCCTCTCTCCCGGCGGCCCCTCGCCCGGCCCTCCCGGCCGCAAGCTCCTGCAGGGCTGTGGCGGCGGCGGCGGCGGACGGGGTGGAGGCGGCCGGGGCGGCGGCCCTGCCGACCAGGACCACGGCGGCGGCGGAGCGGGGGGAGGCGCGTGGGGCGGCGGGGCGGGCGGCGGCGGAGGCGGCGGGCCGGGACGGGGGAGAACGGGGCGAGGAGCGGGCGACGGGGGAGCGAGCGACGGGGGAGCGAGCGATGGGCGAGCGAGCGACGGGGGAGCGAGCGACGGGGGAGCGGGGAGCGGCGGCGGTGGAATGCGGCGCAGCTGCTGCGGCTGCCGCTTGCGCCGCCGCCGCGCGCGCCTTTTCCCGCCCCTCCCGCCTCCGTCCGTCGACCCAGCCGCCGCTGCCGGCGGGTGCGGGGCGGGCGGGGGCGGGGAGGGAGGCGGGCAGGGAAGGAGGCCGGGAGGAGGGCTGCGACGTTGCGGCGCTCCTCCGCTGCTGCTGCTCCGCGTCGGCGCGTCCTACTCACAGCGCCGCCGGGTGTCAAGAGCTAACCCTAACCCTAACCCTAACCCTAACCCTAACCCTAACCCTAACCCCAACCCTAGGTGGCAAGAGCCGCACTCCACTCTCCCCCCCTCGCCAGGGACAGCGAGCCTTGCGGCGTGCGTGCGTACGCCAGCGCGGCCTCCTCGGGGGAGTCGAAAAGGCCTAAGCGAGAGAGCGGCGAGGGTGCGTCGTGTGCGGGTCTCGTTCGGAGGAAGCTGCAGCGATGCCGATGGTCTGCTGCCGTCCTGCGGCGCGGACTTGCAGCTGGCACTTGCTCTTCCGCTGGTCGACGGTCACGTTCTTGTACCTTCGAGCAGGGTGGCGAGGGGCTCACCAGGCCGGCACTCGAGCGATCAGGGCCAAAAGTGTCTACAGCGGAGTCCGCGCCCCGTCGCGTTTGCGCTCAGTACCAGAGTCAGCCCCTCCCTCTCCGCCTGCTGCACCGCCTCGATCGCCGCCGCCGTCCGCGGCACCGGCGCTGGCCTCCGGAGCCGCTCGGCGTCGGCTCTCCCCTCGGGCGTCCGAGCGTAGGCGAGCGCTGCCTCCTCGGCGGTCCCGAAGAGCCCGCACGAGAGCCGCTTGCCCTTTTTCTGCATTTGCAGCTTGTACTTCCTTACGCCGCTCTGCTCCACGTTGTGCGTCACGTTCTTGTAGCCGGTGGTCGAGTCCTTGCGGTCGGCGGGGATGAGGAGAAGACCCTCCCTCTCCGCCGCACGCACCGCGTGCGCCGCCGCGTCGGCGCCGGTCGGCCTCTGCTGCGCAGCTGCGTCCGCCTTGCCCTCGGCGGTGCGAGCGTACACGACGGCGGCCTCGCGGGCCGTCTTGAAGGCGCCGAGGTGTTTGCGCTTGCCGCCGACCTGAACGCGGAGCTCGTAGCGCCTCGACTGGAGGTCATACGTCACATTCTTGAAGCCGCTCTTGTTGTCCGCCGTCACGAGAACGAGGGAGTCGTCAGACATCGACGTGTCGGCGCCCCGCGAGCGCTTCATGCAGGCGAACGAGAATGCAGGCGAACGAGAACCGGATTGTCTCAACAAAAAAGTCTTCTGACAGCAGACAGGCACAGGATCGAAGCGGTGACTGCTTTGCACGCCGTACGACCAACCGAGACAATGGTGCGCTCGCTCGCCCCGCCCGTGCCCGCGGCGGCCCGCGCGTGCGCGCGCGCGGTAGTAGGAGTAGGCTGCGGGTCGTACCGAACCGGTGGGTCACCACCGGTCTCTGGTCCCCGGGAGCAACGAACCGTGCAGCCAGACCATGTGCGCAAAACTGCAGCACATTCAGCGAGAAGGAGAGCACCAGCCGAGGCGCTGCCCGCCGAGGCCCGAGCACGCGAGGAAGCGCGAGACGGGGCGGCGTGGGGGCCGCCCGGCGAGCAAAACGACGGGTGCCGCGCGAGTCGCGTGCGTCAAGCAGTCGAGGCTGTCGAGGCTGTCGAGGCTGTCGAGGCTGCCGAGGAGGCCGAGGAGGCCGAGGAGGCCCCCCCCTCCCCCCCAGGATCTCGAACCAGGGACCAGCCGACGCGTAACGGGGAGGCGAACGCACGCGACACGACGGATGTCGAGGTCCGCAGCGACGGAGATTCACCGCCTCATATACGGTGGATTTTATTTAATTGTTTGCTGTCATTACTGCGGATCTGTGCGGAGTGAGGTGGTGGATAGGGTGGGCGCTCGCAGCCGTGGCGAGTGCCGCCCTCGCCGTGCGTCACGTGAGGAAGGGCCGAGGAAGGCCACCGCGCACGCCGGCCCCACGACACAGTGAAATAGTGACAGGAGCAGCACCACCAGCCGCAGAGGCGCCTAACAGCTGCAGCAGAGCAAAACCGGAGGACCCCCCCCGCAGAGAGAAAAGAAGCGAAAAAGCCAGACGGCGCGCTCGAAAAAGAAAACGCCGTACCCGGCGCCCAGCGCCAAGGGGATGCGAAGCGTGGACGGGGGCAGAGGTCGCCGCCCTCCCGATCCGCGCAAGAAAGAGAAGGGTGTGGGCGTGGAAGCGACACCGACGGAATGCGCGGCGGAAGGAGCGAGGAAAGCTAGACCCCGACCTAGCCTTCTACGGGGTACCCGCAGCCGAACCCATCTTGAGCCCGCTCGAGAGGGCCGACACGCGGGCGCAACGCCTGGGAATGAGGCCCCTCATCGATGAGGACTTAGCGCACCTGGGGATACCCGCGGCCTACACGTGGCACATTCCCATCACCGAGTGGAACGCGCTCATGAAAGCACTGCACGGAAACGGAATGAGCATCGGACGAACTAATGATCGAAGCATATCTAAAGGCAAAATGGAGGTGTGGGGTGGAGACGGTCACGACAGCAGGGTGGGAAGAGAGCAAGAAGGGGCCGCTCATGAGCGTCACAGCTCGGTGATCGCGCCGGCCGGACACCACTGTAACGGCCGTTCCGGGCATTTGAACGCGACCTTCGGGGGCGAAGACATGGGCTCTATGGCTCAGACTGGACTCCTCTTGGTCCCTTCTGATGCCCTAGGCCACACCTGGGCCTTACCTGGGGTTCTAGGGGCCGGGCAGGGTTTGCCCCCCGAAAGTGGCCCGGGGAACCTTAACCGGGGGGCGTGCTGAGCAGCGTGAAAACAGCGGCACACAGCTTATAGCCACGTCGAGAACCTCGAGAAGAAGATCTGTCGGCCTCGCTCTCATTCTCCCGTCATGCGCGGCCTTTGCCTTCTCCTTGCTGCTACCGCGCCCACCGCCGCGCTCGTCGTGCCTCTCGCCGGCTCTCGCACTCCCGCCGTCTCGCATCGCGTGCCGACCCAGGCTGTTTGCAGCGAGACGCGTAAAGGGATCTTCCGCGACGGCGCGCCCGAGTGCTGCTGAGTCTCCTCGAGCCTGGAGGCGATCTTCCTCTACGGCTACTTTGGGAAGGAGTGCTTCCAGAAACTTGCTCAGTTCGCGGTGCCGCTCGCGATTCTGCTCATCGCCAAAAATTTGGAGGTGGGCGTGAGCTAATCGCTCCTGGCCACTCGACCCTTTGCGGGTGGATGCTTGCGCAGTATGACGGCGGCAGAACTAAGCCTTCGGGTGGTCTGCGCGCCTGAGGCCAAGCGCAAAGCCCACTCCCTCCTTTTTCCCGCGTGTTCGACGAGAGTCGACGGAGAGGCTCTGACCTCAGCCGTGAGCCTCAGGACTCTGTGTACCGTGACCCCTGACAAGTCCTCTGACCTCTCCTGACCTCTCGCGCGCAGTTGAGCTACTATCTTTGTGTTCTCTCTTACTTACCCTCGTGCCTTAGAGCATGATTTTATTCATTATTGAGTACGGGGTGTGGAGGGTGAGTTGACCAGGGGCCGCAGGGGGTTGTGCGCGCCGGGCCCTGCTCGGCTCCAGCGAGTAGACAAGTCTTGTCATCAACAGAGGAGAAGGATCTGACCTCGGGGCCGATGTGACCAAGCGCTGGTAGCGTGGTTTTACCTCACACCCACGGTCTCACAGTGTGCCGGCAGTCGCCGAGCAGTGTCGCTCACACAAGCCGCAGCACAAGTCTCAAGTGACTGAGGGCCAGTGAGGGCGAGCCCATCGCTGTCACAGCTGTGTCGTCCGCACAGAGCTGTGCCAAAACTGTGCACAGAGCGTGTGAGCAGCAGAGAGAGGAGAGCTGCTCTCCAAGCTTCAGGCGCAAAGAGCTGCATGCCACCGAAGGCGCTGTCGAGGTTCGCCGAGCGTGGCGCAGGTTGGAGGACACCGTCACCGACGAGCGCGTTGGACTTTTCACTCCGGACAAAGACCGCTGCACAGCGGACGGTACGGCAACGCCAACGGGCCGTGCAGCGGCGCGGCCAGCGGTCCCCCATATTAGCGGCGAGGCGCGGGACCGTCTGTGGCGAAGTGGGTCGCGTCCTCCGATTTCCGTCAACCCAGCATCCACACCCTTTAGGGTCATTGTACACATGGCACGCGAGAGATTGAGACTACAGCAGCTTGCGCGAATGTGCTACGTGGCGCCCGCGTCGCGCGCGCGGAGGCGGCCGCAACGCCAAGCGGCCACACGCCTCACGGGATCCAGATCTCCGAGTCGGGGTCCCACTCGTCGTCGCCCGAGATCTGCGCCGACGCCTCGAGCGCCGACTGCACCGCGTCCTTCGACGTGCCAAACGCCTTGCCGTCCACCGGCACAGAGACGGACAGGCCCCACGGAAACTGGACCGCGCCCCAGCCGCCCGCCATGAAGGCGCGGATGTTCGGGTGGTCGCTGTCCGCCGGGCTCGCGCACACGTCCTTGTAGTACTGCCCGAACAGGCAGAGCGTCTCCTGCTCCGACAGGCCGGCCAGCTTGCCAAACGCGAGCAGCTTGGACGAGCCCATGTTCTCGCCCGCCGCGGACTCGACGTCGCCCACGCGGAAGGATGTCTCGGTCACGTCGAAGCACTCGTCGATGACCGACACCACCTCCGCAAACTCGATCGCCTGCGAGTCTGACTGCACCCGCTCGAGCAGCGCGACCGCCTTGTCGGGCAGGCCGACCGTCGCAGAGGCGCCGAGCGCGGTGCTCTTCTTGAGGCTGACCCAGTCGCCGAGCTGCAGAAGGGCGGAGGAGGCTGCAGGTCACGACAGCATGGCGGGACATAATTCCTTGGGGCATCTCGTTGTTCTTTACGTGAGTGTCTCCTGGGGCGGGGGCAAGCCGGGCGGCGGCGGCGGTGGCGGGCGGCGGTGGCGGCCTGCTCCTCGCCCAAAAACCCTTCCGGCACTTCACCGATGGCGAGGCGAACGGCAACGGGCCGCCCGTGGCGGAGCGGCACGTGGTGCGGCACGTTCAGGCCAGGCCCTGCTGTAACGAGCAGGAGAGAGAGGGACATGGGAAATGAGCGACAAAAGAATTTCGCTATGCTACGCTGCCCGCACTCACCCGTGCCGTCCTCCCATCCCTCCCTTGGGTTGTCTGTTTTCTTTCTTTCTTTCTTTCACCTGATCGTCCTTACAAGATCCTGCTCGTGCAGGTGGGGACCCTGTCCTTCTCCCACCCCTCGTTTGGCGTGTCCGTTGTATTTATTTATCACGGACACCATAACCGAAAGAAAGAGAGGGTGGCTCGCGGGAGAGGTGACGAGTGAACTACAGGTAGTGGGGAAGGCAGCCTCGATGGCCATACAGACATGGGTGCGAAACAACGACAAGACCAAGGCACGGGCAGAGGAACGAGAGAAGAATATAGGGGCGCCGCAGGCGCCTCAAGCGGTGCGGAGCGCCGCCACAGGCGGCGGACAGCAGGTGCGCGAAATTAAACGCCATTTTCGGTTCCGCGGTTTTGGCACTGTCTACCAACTTTGTGGTACAAATCGACTTGCACTTGGTCTGAGCCCTGCGCTGCGTTTGAGCCTCCATTCTGAAAGTGTACGTAGAAGGGAAGGCAGCAGGTCCGGCTTGCGAACTCCGCTGTGCGCCGACAAGCGGTATGGCGCCGAGTAGAGGCCATTTTCCTATTAGAAAAGGCTGTCGAGAGCGCAAAATTTTCTTCGCTGCGCGCCCAACCATGGTGGGCACGCAGCGGGCGCCTGCGGCGCCAAATTTTTGAAATGTCTGCCAGTCGCCCAACCTGATCTCAGAATCACTCGAGGGTAAGCCACGCCGAACGCAAGGAAGCCGGGGAAGACGACCCCGAGGAGGACGAAACAAAAGTGGAAATCCCGCCGTCAGCTGTCACAATATACCCGAAGGGAACCCCAGTGCCAACACCGACCATTGAGGTACAAGTGCTCGAAACGAGAGTGGACCTGAGCAACGACATGACAGGGCGGGATATGCTCGCAGTGGGAGTCAGAAATGTGGTCCTTGCGCGAGGAATGCTCGATAAACTCGAGGGACCAAAATACGCGGAGAGGAGAGCGGAGTTAGCTTACGCAGAAAGGCGAGAGAAGCAGCGAGAGCAAGAGATCGGCAGACGACAGCGGCGTCTCAGAACGAGGCCGAGGAGAGCGATGAGTCAGGAGAAGAGACAGCAGGAGAGAGAACGACGAGAGTGGGAAGAATGCGAGGTGGCATGAAGGTCGCTGCAAGAATTGGTGATAAACTGCGGAGAGAGATAGGAAGTGGTAGACGCCCGAGGGTGGGCGACGGCTAACACCACACTTCTCCCCTAAAATCCCTGTGTGGTGGCGTCTTACCGTCCTCCCATCCCTCCCTTGGGTTGTCTGTTTTCTTTCTTTTACAACAAAACTCCCTCGCACAACACTGGGCACGGGACTGGCGCGCACTGGCACTAACACAGGTACACCGAACAAAAGAAAGCCAAGACGCCAATTTCAATGCCTTTGACGTGGCCGCGTGCCGTCCCCCCATCCCTCCCTTGTTTAGCGGAGGACCCCCTGCCTCCTCCCATCTTTACAAGCGGGCTCGAGGGGCCAAAATACGCTGAGAGGAGAGCGGAGTTACGCCGAGAGGCGAGAGAAGCCGAGACAGCAAGGGATCGGCAGGCAGCGGCGGCGTCGCAGAACGAGAGGCCGAGGAGAACGATGTCGATGAGTCAGAGGATGAAGCGGCAGGAAGGTTAGAGAACGACGAGAGTGGGAAGACCGCGAGGCGGCATGAAAGCTTGAAGGTCGCTGCGAGAATTGGCGAGAGACTGCAAAGAGAGGTAGGTAAGAGGCAGACGCCCAAGGGTGGGCGACGGCTAGTACCATACACTCCTCTCCTTAAAATTCCTGTGTGGTGGCGGCGTGCCGTCCTCCCATCCCTCCCTTGGGTTGTCTGTTTTCTTAAGGGGCAATTCGGTACACGGAACTGTCCCTCAGAAGACCTAGCTCCAAGTAGAGGGGGCGTTACATCTGTCGCTAGGGGAAACCAAAGCGCAGGAGGAGTGCGGGTGGGTAGGCCCTAGATAGAACGGCGGGAGGGGTGGGGTGCCGCTGTAGGGGTGTCGGTGGGGTCGGGCGGGAGGGCGGGAGTGTGAACCGTGACCTAAAGCCCTCCACCGATAGAGGCTAGGATAGAGGTGTCAGGTGGCAGGGCCCATGCAACTGAGGGATGAAAGTACTAGCCAAGTTTGATTGCTGCTGCAACCCTGATTTTCTAACTCTGTGACTCCAAATGGGTCTACGTCTCTGCTGTATTAGGATCATCAGAGGTGTCGAGGTGGTGTCGAGCGGTGTCGAGCGGTGTCGAGCGGTGTCGAGCGGTGTCGAGCGGTGTCGAGCGGTGTCGAGCGGTGTCGAGCGGTGTCGAGCGGTGTCGAGCGGTGTCGCCCAATTTCCGTTGCAGAGTTCAGAGCACTTGGAGCACTTGGAGTGCAGTTATCAGCCTCACATCCAGGGCCGGGGAGCTAAGAAGCGCACCCAGCGGGCCGGATGATCGGGATCGGGTTACGGGCTAGAGAGCCCTAGCCCCGGGGGTGCGCGTTCGCAGGGAAAGGGCCTTAAAGTAAACACGGGTCTCCGAGGGTTGGCCCCGCGTACCGGGTTTCCCCTTAACTGCAGGACGCCCCCTCTACTCGGAGCTAACAAACACCACACTGCACGCCCCACACCACCACTCCGCGCTCACTCGCACAGGTCGCTTGAGTAGACCCCCCCGCCTGAGGGCTCACCCCCCCTCTTCCCAGGGTCCCGATCCTCCTTGATTAGCTCTCTTGCTCGTCTCCCGAGCGTCATGCGACGGCCGGTGTGGCCGTTTCCCTCGTTGTTGGTGCCGCCTCCTCCGCTGCCGTCCTTCGTCCTCGCCAGCTTCTTCCGGCTCCACCGACTCCGAGGGCATCGACGGCCCGGCCGGGGTCTCCCCGGGCGAGGGCGGCGGCATCGTGTCTCGTCGCCACCCCTCCCCGGGAGGTCGGGCCGGATCTCCCTGGTCGGCGAGCCGCGCCCGCATCCGCGGCCTCTCTATCGTTCTCGGCTCGCCCCCCCCTTCCGCCGGCTCCCCGTCAGGGTCGGGGAGGCGTGGCTCTCCCTGTCGAAGGTCGCGGTGATTCGGTTGCCACTGCGACGGGCCTTCCCCCGGTGAGCTCGTACGTCCCGACTCCACTCGCAGAGGCCGCGTCAGCTCGTCTCTCGCCTCCTCCGACCGCTGACCCCAAGCCCCCCCTGGGGCCCTCCGGCCACGGCCCTCCGGCTCGCCGGCGGGTCCGCCATCGTACTGCGGCATCTCCCCTCCCTCCCCTCCCCCGCCTCCTCCTCCCGGGTACACCAGCCTCCGGCGGGGCGGTCCCGGGTCCCCCAGGTTAAGAGGTTTCCCGCAACTTGGAGCACTTGGAGCACTTGGAGCACTTGGAGTGCAGTCGGCAACCTCACATCCAGGGCCGGTGAGCTGAGAAGCGCATCCAGCGGGCCGGATGATCGGCATCGGGCTACGGGCTAGAGAGCCCTGACCCCTAGCTAGGGGGGGGGCGCGGTCGCAGGGCCATAACACGGGTCTCCGAGGGTTAGTTCTGCGCTCCGGGGTTCCCCCAGCGGCGGAATTTTTCCCTCGCGCTGTGGGTCCCCCTAGCTGCGGAACGCCCCCTCTACTCGGAGCTAAAGAATACTCTCCGAGGGTTAGCCCCGCGTACCAGGTTTCCCCTTAACTGCAAGGACGCCCCCTCTACTCGGAGCTAGTGGACACGACACTAACTACTGATACGAGAATACATACCGCCCCCACGCAACTACTCGAAGACAATACGAGAATACGCAGCTGCGAGACGCCTATAAAGAAACAGCGAGGTAGAGTTCGGCGGCTATGATAAACCGAAAGTTGTCGTAAAACGCGGGCGAAAGCAAAGCAGAGGGCGGGCGCTTTCTGCCGCAGCGATGCCCGCAGCCTGTCGAGCAGCTTCCGCGGCGCACATGCGCCGCGGGGTTGAACGACAGCCGCGCCTCTCGAGCCACCCGTGCCACGCGCGGCGACGCGCACCCTGCGCGCCAGTCGGCGCACTGGCAGTACTGCACCAGCCAGCACGGCGTGGAGCAATGCATCCAGGGCATTGTGTTGGGCGCCAGCCAGCATGCTTCAGCACAGAGCAAGAGCGCATGCTGCGCACCCTGGCGCAGCACCAGCTCGCCTCCAATCAGGCACTCTCACCACTGCACAGCCGCCCACGAGCGCCCGCAGCTGCACTGCTCAACGCTCAAGCTCAGGAGCCTCCCCTTGTTGTCGCAGCTTTGTGCAGTGCAGCGTGCGAGCAGCGCAGCGCCAGGCAGACCCGTGGCACGCCCGGGCGGCTGTGGGACGGAGGCCCGCCGAGCGAGTGCGAGCCGCATCGGCGGCCATGTCTCCCGCAGCCGCGAGCGAGCGGTGCAAAGAGGCAGCGTCGCGCATGCTTTTGCGTAAGGTTATCTTTTTGGCCGAAGTTGTTTTGTTTTAATTCTCCAACTTTGCCGAGACTGCGCTCGTCGCGACCAATGGCGCCGACGAGCCGCCGCTATCCGGTCCTGTTGCTCTGCTCCTTTGTCGGCGTCCAGGCCGCCGCCGACGACCGCTGCGCGGACTGGGCCGCCGCCGGCTACTGCGACTCGGCGTCGCACTCGCAGTACATGGCGGCGACGTGTGCGGACGCGTGCGCTGCGCAGTCGACCGAGGCGGACGTCGACGCTGCGATTGCGGCGGGCAACGACACGCAGGACGCGGCTTCGTGCGCGAGCTGGGCCGAGGCTGGCTACTGCACGCACCAGGACTATGTCGAGTATATGCTCGTCAACTGCGCGGCGAGCTGCCGCGGGGCTGGAGGGCCCTCGGCCATCGGCGCGGAGGGCGCGGCGAGGCTGGGCGGGGGCGAGGGCTATCTCGACTGGCTGCGCGGCGGCCTCCGCCGGGCGATCGCCGTCGTGTCGGCGCGCTCCGGCAGAGGCGGAGGCGGAGGCGGTGGCGCGGCGCCGGTGTCGCTGAACAAGGAGTGCGTGGCGTGGGCAAAGCTCGGGTACTGCCACGCGGGTCCGAACCAGGTGTACATGAAGCAGACCTGCGTCGCGGAGTGCGACGAGGGAGGTCGTGCCGGAACGATCCCGGAGCCAGGCTCACTCTACCAGGCCTCCACCCCTCACCCCCACCCCTCACCCCTCACCCCTCACCTCCACCCCTCACCCCCACCCCTCACCCCTCACCCCTCACCTCCACCCCTCACCCCTCACCCCTCACCCCCACCCTGACCCACCCCCACCCTGACCCCTCGCCCTTACCCCTCAGAGCCGGGCTCGCTCTGCCAGAAACTCGCAGCGCACCGCCACGCGTGACACCGCAATCTCATAACCTCTGCGCCGCCCTCTGCCCCTCCAGGCGCCGCAGTACGAGTGCGACCGGCTCGCGTCGAGCGGCGGCTGCAAGAGCAGCGCGGAGTACATGGGCAAGCACTGCCAAGGGGCGTGCGAGAGAGTCACCGAGGCGGCTCGCCCCTCGCCCCTCGCCGCTGCTCCTCTCACAACCTCTCCACAGCCCCGCCCCTCGCCCCTCGCCGCTGCTCCTCTGACAGCCTCTCCACAGCCCCTCGCCCCTCGCCCCTGCTCCTCTGACAGCCTCTCCACAGCCTCGCCCCTCGCCCTTCGCCCCTGCTCCTCTGACAGCCTCTCCACAGCCTCGCCCCTCGCCCCTCGCCCCTGCTCCTCGGACAGCCTCTCCACAGCCTCGCGCCTCGAGCAGGTGATGCCGCCCTCGGACTTCCTCTCGCAGCTCGGCGCGCCAACTAGCAGAGATGCGGCAGAGATGCGGCAGAGGGTGCGGCAGAGATGCGGCGACGGGATGATCCTCCGTCCTCCTCTCCTGATGGCCCCTCCCACCCCTGCTCGAACCCTCTCCGCCCCTCCCACCCTTCTCCTTCCGCCCCTGCTCCCTCCCACCCTCCCCGCAGGCGCGTTGCTTCTCGCCTGCGGCTTTGGCGCCGCCGTCTTTTACGGCGTCGGCCGGCCTCCTCGCTGCGGACGCGCTGGAGCCTTCCCTGACCACGCTCTCGCCCCTCCGCCCTGCAGGCGTCCGGTGGACTGTGGCGATGGACGCGTCTCGCTCGAGTGCCGCGCGCCGCAAGCTCGACATGTGCACCTCGCAGGCCGGCCTGCCGGCGGAGAGGAGCGGGGTTGGTCGGCCGTTCTTCAGCGGCCTGTGGTTGCTCCGCAGGACAGCGCGGCGCTCGCGGTGGGCAAGGGGCAGGCCAAGGGGCGGACAAAGTCGCTCTCGTACTCGGAGCGGATGCAGGCGCCAGCCTTGGAGGGGGAGGGGGGGGGGGGGGCCGGCAAAAAAGGCGGCAAGGCAAAAGGCGGCGGCCTTGGCTCTCCGCGTAGGCGTAACCTATAACCCTACCCTAACCCTGACCCTAACCCTGACCTTTGGCTCTCCCCGTAGGCCCCCCGGCTGGAAAAGGAAAAGGGCAAGCGGGAATAAGGGGGGCGGGGGCAAGGGGGGCGGGACTGCGTGGCGGGGCTGGCTAGGCAGGGAAAGAAAAGGCCCTTCCAAGGAGGCGAGGGGCGGGCCACAAGCCACTAGAGTCGTGCCGGGTCTCGACTACCAGAGAGGGGCCGCCGCCGGCGCACACGGGCGCTGCCGGCGTGCCGAGGCGGGCTCTCTCCGCAGGGTGAGGGCCAGGCAGGGCATACAGTCTTCGGGACCGGCGGGTGGAGCTTGGAGCGCCGATCGAGTTTTGCGGCGCAGTCGAAGTGAGAACCCATCTCGGGCTTGGCTTGGGGCGCTGAGAGCGGATACACTAGACATCGCTCTCTCGCCGTCGCGGCCGGAGAGGACGCGAGATTTTTCCCCTCCCCGCGATCCCGTTGCCGTTCTTTTGACTTTTCGCCCGGAGAGAACACACCCGACCCCCGGGCCGTGTGGATATAGGTGGAGGCTTGTAAGTTGTATATTCGAGTACACGCGCGATGCCAGGGAGCCTGTTCAGCGCTCTTCAGACTTCACAGATCACACGCTCTCGACTTACGACTAGAGACACCGACCGCCCCGGACGGGCAGGCTGCCCCGCGCGCCGGTGAAGGCCCGCGTGAGTCCGTGCCCGTTGCCGTTCGCGCTGCGCAACACTGAGACCGCGGCCGCCTCGCTCCGCCTCGCGCGCTGTATGCCTCTGCACGCAGCGGACGCCTCTGCGGCGGTCGGCGGTCGGGAGAGGGGCAACGCCGCGCTCGCCTCCGCCACTTGCCTCTCTAGCAGCCGCTCCAGCCGCATCCGCTCCGCCGCCGCCCGCGCGTCCGCCGCCATCCTCGCGTCGACCCTGGCCGCTGCGCGCGGCGACGGCGCCTCGCCTGGCTGCGCGCCCCGCCCCGCCCGTGCTCTCCGGAGCGGCGCAAAGGTGCACTCTGCGGCCTCCTCCCTCTCTCTCCGCGCCGCAGCCTCTGCCGCGGCGGCCGCCTGCCTCGCTCGCAGCTGACTCGCCTCGGCGTGCAGCCGCTCGTGTGCGGACGGCCGCGGGGGCGAGGCCTCCACACGCTGCCCACTTGGCCGCTGCCCGCAGGGCTGGACTGGCGAAGCGGCGGGCGTGTGGGGCCGCCGCTGCGGCGAGCCTCTCCCCTCGGCCGCCGCCGCCGGCCGCCGCCGCGCCTTGCCGGGCGCCGCCGCCTCCCTACACGCCGCCCTCGCCACCGCCGCCCTCGCTTCCGCTGCCCTCGCCGCCGCCACCCAGCTCGCCGCCGCGTCCTCTGGCTCGCGCCCGGCAGGAGGATGCACCGCCACAAGAGGATGCACCGCCGATGACGGCGCGGCGCGGGTGGTGGGAGGCGCCCTCGGCCTCGGCCTCGGCCTCGTTGGCGTGGCCGCAGGAGGGTCCGCCGCTGAGGCCAGCGTCCGCCGCCTCGCCGCCCGCTGGCTGCAGAGGTAGGCCGAGATCGGAGACTCATGTTTGAGCCTGGAGAGCTGGTCGCAGAGCTGACTCACTGGCTCCACCTCGGCCGGCGCGCGAGCTTGGCTGGCCGGCTCTGGCGGCGACGAGGCTGGCCGATAGTCCTCGTAGCTGGGACTCGGCGGGAGCTGCGCCAGCGCGTACGGCGGCAGTGCGCGGGCGGCGCATGGAGACGGGGGAGGTGCGTGTTTCGTTGAGCGGAGGCTGCCAGGCCAGCGGGCGGACATGCTGGCGCCTCGAGCAGAAAGAAAGAAAGAAAAAACTGGCGACCCAGGTAAAATTCTTTCGGACGCTGTGAGTCAGCGTTCGGGCCTCAGCGTTCGGGTGGCGTGGTCCTTCTTTCGCATGTCCGACTGGGCAGGTGGCGGTTCTCTCCCTTACCGCATGTCGCGCATCGAGGAGGCCCTGCCGTTCGAGGACGTCAGGGCCTCGTGGAAGACCCGTCGCGAGGCGTGGCTGGGCGAGGTCTTTGCCTCGGCGGGCTCTGTTGTGGAACTGGCCGGTTTGCTGGCGGAGCTCTGCCGCTCCCTGACGGCGTCCGCGGTCTCCTTTTACTTTGACCGGTCGCGCGACGAGCATGAGCGCCTCTGCAGCGCGCTCTGCGACCTCGCCTCTGGCCGCCGCTCCGACCCGAACGGCGTGTCGCTCCGCACGCTCGTCGCGGCGCTCGAGGCGGTGGCCCTTCCTCCGACCGAGGCGTGCGAGAAGAAGCTGATGGAGGACGGGGAGCCGCTCGAGCTGGGCATCGGCGACCTGGGGCCCGATCTCGCAAAGGGAGACCGCGCCCTCGCGCTCGACATCCGGCACGCGTGGTGCGCCGCGCAGGTGGTCGCCGTGCGAGAGGGGCCGGTCGCAGGGACGGACGAGCTGCGCATCCACTACGACGGGTGGAAGGCCAAGTGGGACGAGTGGATCCAGCGCGACTCGGGGCGGTTGAGGCTGCCGGGGCGGCCTCCCAAGCCCGCCTTCCCTCCGCTCGACAAGCCAACTGCCGCAAGCAGCGGCGGCGGCGGTGGCGCGGCGCAGGGCCCGCGGGCAGGCGGCGGTGAGGGCGGCAAGAAAACGGGCGGCGTCGAGGGCGGCAAGGCGGCGAAGCGGCCGCGCGAAAACGGAGGCGATGCGGAGCGGGCGGGGAAGGCGGCGGGGAAGGCGGCGGAGAAGGCGGCGGAGAAGGCGGCGGGGAAGGCGGCGGGGAAGGCGGCGGAGAAGGCGGCGGAGAAGGCGGCGGAGAAGGCGGCGGAGAAGGCGGCGGAGAAGGCGGCGGGGAAGGCGGCGGAGAAGGCGGCGGAGAAGGCGGCGGAGAAGGCGGCGGGGAAGGCGGCGGAGAAGGCGGCGGAGAAGGCGGCGGGGAAGGCGGCGGAGAAGGCGGCGGAGAAGGCGGCGGAGAAGGCGGCGGAGCTCGCGCAGATCGAAGTCAACGAGAGGACGATGCGCTGGACCGCGAGCCGCGGGTCGGCCGCGGCCGAGGCAGCGCAGTCGGCGGCGTTCCGGTCCGTCTCGCAGGGCGGCGGCTCGAGCAGCAAGGTCCGCCAAGCGCCGACGCCCACGCCGGCTCAACCCACGCCAGCGCCGGCGCCCAGGGGTCGCCCACCCGCGAGCGGCAAGCAGAGCGAGGCGGCGGGTAGCGGCACGCAGAGCCAGGCGGCGGGTAGCGGCAAGCAGAGCCCGGCGGCGAGCGGCAAGCAGAGCCCGGCCGGCGCCGGGAGCGGCGCTGGCGCCGGCCGGCGGCGGGGCGGCATCTCCCCCCCGGCGGAGAAGAAGCGCTCCTCCGCCCCGCCCGCGCGAGTGGAGCCGTCCTTCGGCGCCGCCGCGGGAGGCAAGGGGCTCGGCGGAGGGGGCGGGAGGAGGGGCGGCTCTCCGCCTGCCCGCGTCCGGCCGGGCAGGCCTGCGTCGGTGGGCGTCACTGTTGAGGACGAGGCGCGCGAGCTGCGGGGGGCGGGCGGGCGGGGGGGGGGGGGGGGGGAGCGCTTGAGCACCCCTTGAGCAGCTCTGTGGCGCCTCTCAGGCGACCACCGACGCGAAGCTGTGGGAGGGAGCGCACGCCTCCGGCTGGCGCGCGGCGGCGGCGGGCGGGGCGGCGGCGGCAGGGTTGTGGTGTGGACGTGTCGCTGAGTCGTGCCCGTAGGCGGCTGCACGACAAGGGCCAAGGCCACTACTTGCGGGTTGGGCCGGACGGCACGCGCCACACAAACAAGGCGGACGCACTCTCGAGAGGTGGGCGAGAGATGGGCGAGAGATGGGGAGAGGCATCTCCATGCCTGACGTAGGCCGACGCCCTCGAGGCGAGGCGCGACAGCAAGGCCGCCGGCAAGGCCGCCGCCGCCTCTCCCGGGCCCGCCGCCAGCGCGTCGCCGCCACGCCCGGAGGTTGGCACGTCTGCAGAGGCGCCGCTGCCGGCGCCGTCGTCGTCGGCGCCTCCGCCGCCGAAGGGGTCGTCCTTGCTCCGTGACGGCGAGGCTGTGTCTGTGGGCGACAAGCTCGTCTCGCTCGACGTGCGGGAGGTGTGGGTCGAGGGGTCGGTGGCCTCCGTCAGGGAGGGCGCGATCAAGGCGCGCTGCCGCAGCCGGGCGAGGTCCGCGACACGTCCGCGACGCGCCCCATGACCCGTGACCCCTCCCCCCCCCCCTAGGTGCACTACCGCGGCTGGGCGAGGCGGTGGGACGAGTGGGTCGCTACGGGGGTCGGGAGGCTGCGCCGGATCACGCAGTGGTCCGCCGAGCCGGAGGCGGCGTCGAGCGGTCCGCCCGCCGCTTACGTGCTGCCGGAGGATTGCGCCGCTTGCCAGGGGAGGCACGTCGCTCACCAGTGCGGCAAGGGGCGAGTCGGCTCCGAGAGCCTGCGCGAGGCGAGATTACCCGAGATTACCCGAGATTACCCGAGATTACCCGAGATTACCCGAGATTACCCGAGATTACCCGAGATTACCCGAGATTACCCGAGAGCTTGCGCGAGGCGCCCGAGAAGCGCCGCACTGAACGAGAGACGGCGTGGGTGGCGTGAGGAGACGGGTGTGAGCAGGCGCTCGAGAAGCCGATCCGCCCCTCCGCCGTCGCCGGCGTCGAGGCTGCCGTCGGCGCGGCGAAGGCGGAGCAGCGCGCGGGCGAGAAGAAGAGGCTCAGTCGCCCGCCGCCAAAGGCGGGGGCAAGTCGCTCCGGGAGCAAGCGGCCGGCAAAGGCGCAGAAGGTCGAGCAGGCCCACGGCGGTGGCGTGCGGCTCCGGCTCAAGGGCGTCGATGGTGCCGCACGCCTCTTCCGGGGCGCGCAGCAGCCGCTGCCGCCGCCGAAGGCGCCCGCGGCTCCAAAGGCGCCTACCGGCAAGAGGAAGGGGCCAAAGGGGCCGCAGCAGCCGCCCGCGCCCCCTCCTCCGCCGCCGCTCTCGGTGCAGCCGACGACGCTGCAGCCTCCGGGCTGGCGGGGCGGCGAGCCGGCTGCGGAGGAGGACGAGGAGAGCGGCTCCAGCGCCGAGGCCGCCTCTCCGTGCGCCAGTGACGCGCCCGTTGCTGCTCGCGTAGGAGATGGGCCTGATCATGGAGGCCACCTCGCCCATCCGCGGGTCGGGGCCGGGCGGCGCGGCGGCGGCGGGCAGCGCGGCGGCTCCTCGGCCGGGGCCGCAGCCGATGCTGCTGCATCTCGAGCCCCGTGCGCTGCGGGAGGCGCCCGCGCTCCCTTCCGTGTCGGACCATCGCGTCCTGCCGCGCCGCTCTCGCGGCGCCGTCTGCTCAACCCCCCCCCCCCCCGCGCGCCCCTGCTCCCTTCCCAGGCGCTGCTCGCGCTGCAGCTGACGCGTGACTTGCTGCGCGGCCTCGCCGCGAGCCCGTCGCTGATGCCGGGCGGCGTCGAGGACTACTTCGTCCGGCTCAACATGGGCTCCAAGAACTACATGTACGTCCCCGCGCAGGTCGTCAAGATGCAGTCGCCCGAGGGGGCGAGCGGAGAGCACCAGATGCAGGTGCGCGGCGCGGACCGCAACCGGCCCTCGTCTCTGACGCTCACGCGGCTCACCTACGTCTCCAACAAGCCCTTTACGGAGGAGGCGCGAGATTACCCGAGATTACCCGAGATTACCCGAGATCCAACAAGCCCTTTACGGAGGAGGCGAGATTACCCGAGATTACCCGAGATTACCCGAGATCCAACAAGCCCTTTACGGAGGAGGCGAGATTACCCGAGATTACCCGAGATTACCCGAGATCCAACAAGCCCTTTACGGAGGAGGCGCGCGCGGCAGTGGCGGCAGTGGTGGCCCTGCGCCAGCCCTCTTGCCGCGTTGAGTCGACTCCACTGCTCGCCGCAGGAGCTCTCCGAGATCGCGTCCAACCTCGCGAGCGGCGTGCTGCGCAACTTGCCGCAGGCTGTCGCGCGCAGCATGGGCGCCCGCCGCGCCGCCGGCATGACCAAGCTGCAGCCGCGCCGGAGCGAGGCGGCGCCCGCTCCGGCCCCCGCGTTTGCCGCTACCGTTGCTCGCGCGCGCGCGGATGCGTTGCCACGCGCCGCTGCCGCGGCGGCGCCGCCCGCGTGTGCCGGCGGCTACGCCGTGAGCAGGCCAGCGCTGTCGGGCGCGGAGCAAGCGGCCGCACATGCACATGCGCAAGGTTTCGCCAGTTCGGCGGCGGGGAGGCCGTTCGGCTCGTCGGGCGGCGCGGCGATGATCGCGCCGGCCGCACCCGTCGGCGCTGCCACCGCCGCCGGACTGCAGTTTGCAGGGACGCCAATCGCCATGGCGGCGCCCGTCGGCGGCGGTGGTGCGATGTGTCACCCGATGATGGTTGGCCCGCAAATCACGCGGTGCAGAGCAGCCCCTGCGCCACTCATGACCCTTGCGTCGCACTGCTCGCCAGTGCCCCCCCCACCACACACACACACAAAGCCGCCCCCTCAACGCTGCCCCCCCGCCCCGCCGCAGGACGCAGTCGGTCGACGCCGCCGAGATCCTCGCCGCGTGCTCCGGCGCTTTTGGCGGCTCCGGCACTGCCGCCTGCACCGCCCCTGCTGCCTCACCCCAGCCGAGCCCGCTGACGGCAGCGCAGGCGGCCGCTACCTTCCCAGCGACCGCGGCGGCAGCGACTGCGGCGGCAGCGGCAGAGACAGCGACCGCTGCGGCGGCGGCGGCCAACGGAGGCAGCTCAGTCGCGCCCGGGGTGGAGACGTACCAGAGCGAGGGTTCGGCTGCCATGGGCTCTATCCCGCTGCACTCGAGTGGCGCGGCGCTCGCCCAGGCGCAGGCGGCGCTCGCGTCGCTGCAGGCGCAGGCGGCGGCCAGCGACCACCTTTCCAGCCTGCATTCTGGCTCGGCCGCCTAAGGGCAACAAGGAGTAGGAGCGGCGGCAGCGGCCCCCTTGTAGTAGACGCGGTCACGCACCGTGTACGTCTCCGCGGCACAATGCATGTTCCCGCGTGACTCTGGTGTGCTGTGTGGTCTGCCCTGCGCCCCGATTACGTGTGGGGTGCGCGGCCTACGTTGAGACACACAGCACATCGAAATGGAGGGTTATATGCGGACTAAGTACACCCCCACGGTTTTTGAACGTACACGCACCACACACACACAAAGACTCCAGTGAGCGGGCCTGCGAGCCTACCCTACACGGCTACAGTAAGCGAGACGATCGAGCTTCGAGGGCCCCACCTTCCACCCTATACCCCCGACTCGGCACTCGCCGCCGCTGGACCTCTGAGGTCCTCCCCAGTGTCTCACCCCACCTTACCTCTGCCCCCCCCCTCCCCCCATCCCTCTGCCTCCCATAGGGCAGGATAGCACTAGCATATGCGCCTGCGCACACTGGGCCCACATAGATGTGACCCCGCCCACTCGAGTGCGGCGCCCGGGGATGCTAGTGCTTGAGAAGAGACACCACAAACGCGGCACGGCCCGTTTTGGATGTCTGCGGAGATTCTGTCTTAGCACACACAGTGCGAGTCATTCGGAGTCATTCGATGGCCAGAGTGCGATTGTGTGTGTGCGGGAGTTGGTGTGTCGGGAGGGAGGGGCAGGCTGCTCACCCACGGACGTGCACCGGGCCAGTGCTTGCACTTTGAATGCCGTGGGGCTCCTGCCCGTGTCCGGGTGTGGAGATGCGAGGGTCGCCCCCCCTTGCCCCACCACTTTGTGTGTGTGGAGAAATCTACCTTACCTTACCTTACCTTCTCGCCGCTTTCCGCCCACTGTGAATTTGTGTAACTAGCTCTGTGTCCTGACTTGCCAACAATAATACGAGATAGTCTCGATGTGTCGAGGTCTCTATGCATTATGCGTGGGAGGCCCCCCGAGAGTTGCCCGGTGGCTGTGCAACATACCGCAGTGACGCGCCCTACCTATGCAAGCGGGTGGCCGGTGCGGCCACAGGGTTGCCCGTGCGGGGGTGCCCCCTCGCACCAACGCAGTCCAGACGAAACGACAACGCGTCTCTGCCAACGTGCACAACGCGCAATCGAGGCACGACTGGTCCATGCCCGCGGCAGTCGAGGCGGCGGACGCCGAAGCGATCTTGCGTCGTTGCATCTCTTGCTTCACTCACCGTCATTTGAAGCACGATCGGGAGCGGCAGCAGGCAGCGCTTCGTGAGGCGGCGATTGCTGTGCCTTTCCTCCGCCCACGCCTCTGCGGACAAATGGCGGAGCTGCTCCGCCTTGGTCGAGGCATCGCCAGGAGCGACTCCAGCGACGGAAACAAAGGCATGTGTGCCCTCCTCTCTGCCGTCGCGAGCCCGCCGGCTGCGCTCTTCACTGGTGCAGACACGCGGCATTCGGCCGAGGCCGCCATCCATGCGTTTGCGGCTTCTGTCGCTGCTGCGACGCGCTGTGGCGTCTCGCAGGTGGAGGAGGCCGCCCACGCGGCTCTGGGTAAGCTGATGGCTGAGGCCCGTCGTCACGACCACCGCGCGGACCCTCCTCCACGCCTTCCGACCCCGGCTCTGGTCACGGCGCTCGAGAGCGAGGCTGTCGTGGCACGGCTCGTGGAGGTGCTTGCGTGCGGCTTCCTGCAGAGGAAGGAGTTTGCGTGCGACCAGCTAGTTGCGCTATGCCGCGGCTCCCCAGCCGCGAGTCAGGCCGCCCTCGACTCTGGAGCCTCAACGGCCGTGCTCGCCAATCTCCGAGCTGCGGGCGGCGAAAGCAACGTAGAGAGGTGTCCGTTTTATTTATTTATTTATTTAGAACGCCGGGTTTGTCTTGTATGTGCGTGTGTGGTGTGTCGTGCGCGCGCGCGCGCGCGCGCGCGCGCGCGCGCGCGCGCGTGCGGGTGTGTGTGTGGCACTCGCCGCGCAGCAAGCCGGTGTTCACGCCGTCGCTAGACCAACGCGCCGCCCTCGCCGGGGGATCATCCTACTCCAGTTGAGGCTGCCCTCGGCCCGAGAACGCCATCGCTAGACCAACGCGCCGCCCTCGCCGCGTACGACACGAAGACTTGCTGACGAGGCATCGCCTGGCCACCACCACTTATGAATCGCGCGCTCCCGACCCGGCTCCTCGCCGCCTACGACGGCTTGCTAACGAGGCATCGCCTGGCCACCACCACCGTCAGCGGCGCTCTGCTCGGCGGCGCTGGTGACGTGGTCGTCCAGCACGCAGCAGCGTCGTCCGACGTCGACCGAACGGCCGCATTCTTCATTTTCGGCGGCGTGCTCACGGGGCCGATCAACTACCGCTGGCTCGACTTCCTCGCGGCCGCGTCGAGAAGCATCGCGCCGCAGGGCGGTGCCGCGTCTCTCGCCGCAAAGGTGGCGCTGCAGTCGACGGTCATGCAGCCGCTGATATACCTCCCGTCCTTCTACCTGACTAACGCCCTCGTGCGTCCGCGTCCTCGTCGTTCGTTCTTCCCGCTGTTGCTGGACCATCTGACTTCTGTTCCTAGGTGCGCCGCTGGAGCGTGGCCGAGGCGGCTGAGCACGTCCGTGCCGAGTATGCGGACACGCTGCGCAGACTCTGGCTCTTCTGGACGCCCTCGGTCTGCTTCGCCTTTGGCGTGTTGCCGCTCCGGCTGCAGGCGGTCTTCTTCGCCGGAGTCGGATTCGCGTGGAACGTCGTCCTCTCGGCGTACAATGGCGCAGGGCCGCAGCGCGTAGCCAGCGTGACCGTGAGCCAAGAACAGGTCCGCGGTGTTTGATAGTTGCGTGTGCGACCACAGGGTTTTTTTGTTCTCGCGATGCGAATGGTTGGGTAGTAGGGCTAGAGGGTCGCTCTACACTTAGCCTCTGCAGCGAGCGAGCGCTCAACTTAGCCCCCACACGGAGCCGGGCTCGGACTTAGACGCTGTATGGTCGGGGGCCACGAACTTAGACGACATAAGGCCAACTCCGGGCAAAACCCGGGTATACCTGAAAAGCCTCCAGGTTTACCCGGAAATACCATCCTGGACGCGTCCCGACCAACGTAAGCCGCGCACGACGCCATATCGCCTTCTCCCAGGGCCAGTGCGCTACTTGCGGCGCGCAACGCCTGCTCAAGTACCCCCCCCACCATGTGCTGCCGCTATGCGTGCCTTAAGGCGGCTGCGGCGAAGCGGCGGGCGCGGCATGCCGATGGCAGTGCGGACGATGCGGTTGCGATGTGTTCTGCTTCAAGATCGTGGCGGTGCTTGGCATGCACTTCTGCGATCCCAATCAGCTCATCGCAACGAAGCAGAGCAACAAGCTGGCTGCTGCCAACAAGGCCCTATGCTACCTCACGCGCGGATCGTTCAAAGAGGACCAGCACACACAGGCTTCACGCCTTCACCGTCACGCATTTGATTAAGCTTGAGGAGCTTCGTGTCATGTGAGAACTGTTTGGCTAGACGTCGCTCAAGAATGAAGGAGCAGCAACGAAAGTCGAAAGAGGAGGATGCTGAAGCGGCGATTGCTAAGCATGAAGAGGATCGATCGCCCGCCGCAGGCGAAGAAAATTTGGGGGCTGCGCCGTATCGTTGATCACGGTGGGAGCCTCCTGGCCCCAGGCCGTGCCACGGCCGACTTAGCCGATGTAAGAGGCTCCCGCTGATCTTAGACCGCGCAAGCACCCCAGCGTGGCTAGCCACACTTAGACCCGTCCAGCCTCGAGGCTCAGAACTTAGACTACTACCCAACCAGTGCGATGCGCAGACGAGGAGCCTCGTCCCTCGAGAGAGGTGAGTTAGGATCGCGCGGGACGAGACGGACGAGCGGTCGACGGGGCTTTCAAACAGGGCCCCCGGCCCCGCCACGAACCTCTTCAAATGACCAAACATTTCATCTCTACACCCGGGTAAGTTTCACCGCACAGCCTACCTGCACGATTCAGCCAGCGGGACGGCATTCGCACCATGACCCGTGCCACCGACCTCCACGCCCCGCCGGGCGTACGCGTTGGGCGCGCTGCGCATCCGCGGCAAGCGAGGCATGCCCAGCGCGGCGGCCAGGCCCTGGCCGAGGCGCGGCGAGGGCGGCGCCGCAGCGTCGTCTTCGCCCGTGCGAACCGCGCAGCTGCTGCCGCTGCCCGCGTCTGCGCCAAGAGGCGCGGCGCCGCGGGCGAGGCGCCCCTGCTGCTGCGAGGGCCGGAAGAAGGAGGACGTGCGGACAGACTCCGCGGCGCTGGTCGCCCAGCGGCGCAGCGACGGCGGCGGCGGCGGCGATCCCGCGTCGGCGGGCGGTGGCGCCCCTGCTGGTGGCGGCCCTGCCGGCCCTGTGGCGGCGTCCGCCTCCGCAGCAGACGCCCTCGGCGCGAGCCGCAAGCCCGAGAACCAGCAGCCTCCGCCCGCCGCGCCCGCGTCGGCAGAAGAGGAGGCGCGCGTCGAGGAGCGGCGAGACGCGGAGCCGCGCAGAGAGCCGCTCCTTTGCCCGTTCGAGGACAGGTCCGGGACATGTCCGGGACATGTCCAAGCCTCGTGCAGAGAGCCGCTCCTCTGCCCGTCCGCCGCGGCGCGAGCGGCGCGGGCACGCGCCGCCTCCGCCTTGGCCGCCCTCCCCGCCGCCGCGACCGCGACGGCCGACGGCGCGCAGACGCCTCGCGCTCGAGGAGCGCCGCCGCCGCCAACGCCGCCGCCAACGCCGCCGCCAACGCCGCCGCCAACGCCGCCGCCAACGCCGCCGCCGCCTGCGCCCGCGCCGGCGCAGCGGCTGGCGGCGAGCGCGCTGCCCGTGCCGAGGCCGGCGGCGGCGAGGCTGCCGGGGGGCAGGCTGCCGCCGACGGCGAGCCGAGAGCGCGGCTCGCGCGGCGGCGGCGGGCCGAGGAGTGCCGCTGGGTCGGCGGCGAGGGAAGCGTCGAGGGAGGCTGCGAGGGAGGAGTCGAGGGAGCCGCCCACCGGAGACGCCCTCCACGAGCCGGCGGAGGAGGCGGCGGCGGAGGAGGAGGAGGCGGCGGCGGCGGAGGAGGCGGCGGCGGCGGAGGAGGCGGTGGTGGCGGCACCGCTGGCGGCGGCGGCGGCGGAGGCGGAGGCGGCGGAGCAGCGGGCTGCGCTCGACGCCGAGGAGCGGCCGCAGCAGAGGCCAGCCGAGCCGAGCCGTCTCCCGGAGAGGCCGCGCGGCGGCACAAGCGGCAGGGGGAGCTCCGCCTCCGCCTCGGGAAGCGGCGGCGCCGGAGGAGGCGCGGGCGCCGGCGGGGGAACGGGCGGCGGCGCAGGCGCGGGGCGAGGCTGCCGCAGCGGCTGCAGCGCGGGGCGGTGACGCGGCGAGGAGGGGCAAGAGAGCGGCGCGGGCGGCGCCTCCGGTGGCAGCCGCAGACTCGGCGGGTCGCTGTGGCCGCCGCTCCGCTTGCAGGCCGCCGCCGCCGCCGCCGCCTTGAGCGCCTCCATCTCCCTCCCTCGCCGCTCGAGCACCCTCCGCATCGCAGGCGCGGACCGGTGCCCTGCTTCGCCGGCAGCGGCGCCGTAGTCGGGGTGGTCGTTGGTGAGAAAGTGCCCCAGCCGCTGCATCTGCCGCCCGACGCCCGCCTTCTTGGCGCGCGCGGGCGGCGGCTGGGCCAGAGGCGGCTGGGCCAGAGGCGGCTGGGCGGGAGGCGGCTGGGCCGGAGGACGCCGCCTCAGTTGCGGCGCCTCGGAGATGACGAAGCGAGGAGGTGAGAGGTTGTCATCCCCGCCATCCTCCTGCGTGTCGGCGGAGGAGGGTTGGGACGGGTGCGCGTTGGGCGGGTGGACGCTGGTGCGGCAGTAGCTGACCGGCAGCAGCGGATCGTCGACGAAGGAGCGGCGGACGGGCGGGTGGTGCTCGTCCGGGACCGGCGCGGGCAGCCTCTGCGATTCCTTGAGGCAGTAGGCGCAGGTGCAGCCCGCGCGGCGGAGGCAGACGCCGGCAGTCGGAGGAGGGTGGGCAGGCTCAGGCTCAAAGAAGGTTGGGCGCGCGAGCCCGACGGACCGCTGGCACAGAGGGCACCCGCAGTTTGCGGAGCGCGTGCAGAGCTCCGGCTCCTTCATCAAGCGTTCTGGACGGGGCGGGATGCCAATGGCGGCGGGCACGGCTGGCAAGGAGCCGGTTTTATTCACAGCCTTGCGGCATTGTGCGGCACGCCGGAGCACACGAACGAAGTGCATTGTTCCACAAACAAGAATCACAAGGACTGGTACGCACACCAGGAGCTCGTCAAGGCGCGGGATGTGCACGTCAAGAACAACCCGTCCCCCGGAGACAGCGCCGTCAACAACCGCGAAGCCGCGCGCTTCGTCTCCGCCTCAACGCCTTTCGCCGGCAAGGCCCTCGATCGATGTCCGTGTCGACGGCACGTACGCCACCGCCCTCTCCTCCGACACCCTCCAGGACGAGCACAGCTCCAGCGGAAGTCGGCCTTTGGCTCTCCGCGGCGCTTCCCACCCTTCGGGTCGCGCTCGAGCGGGGCATGCCAGTCGATTTCTTCGGCGACTACCTTTACAACAAGGCCCACCACCGGCGACCCCACGACGGCGTCCTCGCCGCCTGGGCGGACGCGATGCGCGCCCCGGCCAACGCGCCGGTCGTGCACGGCGACAAGGAGAAACCAGAGCTCACCCGGCAGTACAACGAGGGGTACAAGGTCGACCTCGCAGAACCCCATGCGGGACCTAGGGTTAGGGGGGGGTGCGATGAAGTGAATGAAATCAAGCTCTGGACGCCCCTCCTCAAGACCTCCTGGCCAGCGCCGCTTGTCTCGGTTTTGGATGGTTTTGTTGACGTTGCCGACACAGTGGCGACAGCGCCGCGAAGCCCTGAGCGGGCAAGAGTGCGCGCTGAAGGAGCACTCGCATCGCGACGGCGAGGAGCGTGTTTGAAGTGAGTGAGGTCGTGTGGCGCTGGGCGAGGAGGTTGAGGCGCAACACAACAGACGATGCGGCCGAAGGGATGCCAATCTTTTGGATGCACTGGGCAAACTTCTCGACGCTCTCGAGCACACGCAGCAGCAGCTCCCCCTGCGGTGCTCGACGAGCTAGTCCGAGGATTCTCTTCTTTCTCCACGGCAGGATGTCATGGGTTGTTGGCGTGGAGAGCGAGCAAAGTGCTGCGCTTTCTTTGGCTCGAGCCGGCAGAGGCGCGGTCTCGAGGGAGCGGTGGCGAGCGGCACCGGCCTCTGGCCGGAAAGAAGCGAGACGTCGGCGGCGTTGCTGTGCGGAAAGCGCAGGGTAGGCACAGGCTTGCGATCGGAGGGGCGTGGAGAGGGGGGTATAGCCCGTCGCGGGAGTTACGTCGTCGTTTTGGCCAATTTCGTTTCATCACGGAGGTGCCGACGATGTGCGGGGCCTCCGGTTTCGAGTGCGGAGTGGTGGGGGGCTGCTGGGTCGCTAACTAATGTTGAAAACAACAACAAAAGAAACATTCGCGGCGCTGCCCGACTGGAACACAAACAACTCTCTCTCACACACACACACTCTCTCTCTGGATCACACACAGACCGGGTTAGACCGGATCGCTAATGAAACGTTGAAAAAGAATTATGCGCGCTTCGTCTCTGAGTGGCAAGGTCACGCAGCCAGCACAACCCTTTGTCAATGGCAGTCGCCGCGGCCTTGTGCACCGTCGCCCTCTCCGCCGCCGCCGCCCTCCTCGCGGGTGGCGGCCCCCCGCTCGCGCCGCAGCGGCGAGCCGCCGCTCGGCCGCCAACCGCGGCCCGCCGCTGCGCCGACCCGCGGCTTTGTGGCATCGTCGCCGTCTTTGACGACCTGCTGAGCGCAGAGGAGATCAAGGAGCTGACCGTCGAGCTGACGCGGCGGCTGGAGCACCGCGGGCCGGACTCGGTCGGCTTCCACGGCGGCGATGGCTTCGGCCTCGGCCACGCACGCCTCTCCATCATGGACCCCGAGGCGGGCAAACAGCCGCTGGTCTCGCAGGCGACCGGTGCGGCCGTCGTGCACAACGGGGAGATCTACAACCACGCTGCGCTGCGGGAGGAGTGGGCGGCCGTGCGGACGGCGGCGGGGAAGGCTCCCTTCTCCTTCACCACCGGCTCCGACTCGGAGGTCGTCCTGCCGCTCTTTGAGGACCTGTCGCCGGCGGAGCTCGCCGCAAAGCTGGACGGCATGTTCGGCGTGGTGGCGGCGTCGGCGGACGGCAAGGACTTCGTTGCGGTGCGCGACCCGGTCGGGATCAAGCCGCTCTACCGCGGCTGGTCGCGCGACGGCGGCCGCGTCATCTTCGCCTCGGAGCTCAAGTGCTTGGTCGGCGTCGTGGAGCACGCAGAGCTGGTGCCGCCGGGGCACGTGTGGACGCGGGAGCGCGGGTACGAGCGGTACTTCGACCCGGAGTGGCTGGCTCCCCTCTCGCGGCCCGACGCGCCGCCGCCGCCCCTCGGCACGCGCGGCACCGACCGAGTCCGCTCCATCCTCAAGGCTGCCGTGCAGAAGCGGCTCATGTCGGACGTCGGGTACGGCCTCCTCCTCTCGGGCGGGCTCGACTCGGCCATCGTCGCGAAGCTGATGTCGGAGCTGACCGACATGTCGACCATCAAGTCGTTCACCGTCGGGATGGCCAACTCGCCCGACATCATGGCCGCGCGCGCCATCGCCGACGTCTTCGGCACCGAGCACCACGAGTACATCTTCACGCCCGAGGAGGCCTTCTCCATCCTGCCAAAGGTGGTCGAGCACCTGGAGACGTACGAGCCCGAGCTGATCCGCTCGTCGATCCCAAACTACTTTCTCGCCAAGCTCGCCGGCTCGCACACCAAGGTTGTCCTCACCGGCGAGGGCTCGGACGAGCTCTTTGCCGGCTACCTCTACTTTCGCGACGCGCCCGACAAGGAGGCGCTGCACAAGGAGACGCTGCGCATCTTCGACCACCTCGCGTCCGTCAACCTGCAGCGGTCCGACCGGATGGGGATGGCCCACGGCCTCGAGGCGCGCGTGCCCTTCCTCGACGTCGACATGCTGCGCGAGCTGTACGCGGAGGTGCGGCCCGCGAGCGGACGGGCGCGTCCACGGCACGTCCGATTCACACCGCGCCCCCTCTCACGCCCGCTCTCAGGTGGACCCGCAGTGGAAGATGCACGAGACGGACGCGGAGGCCGAGGGCGGCGCGCGCATGGAGAAGTGGGCGCTCCGCCGCCTCTTCGAGGGCGACATCCCGCACGAGGTCCTCTGGCGCACAAAGGCCATGCAGTGCGAGGGGGACGTCCTCCTTCTAGGAACCTTCTAGGAACCTTCTAGGAACCTTCCCCTAGGCGATGCAGTGCGAGGGCGTCGGCACCAACTGGGTCGAGCGGCTGCAGGAGATGTGCGCCGACGCGGTGAGCGACGCCGAGTTCGCCGCGGCGGCGGATCGCTTCCCGCTCAACCCGCCGCAGAGCAAGGAGGAGTATTACTACCGCGCCCTCTTCGAGACTCACTTCAAGGGCTTTGACCAGTTTGTGCACGTCTGGGAGGGCGGCTGCCGCGCGGGCGGCGCGCCGTGGCAAAACTCGGCCTACACACGCGCGGGCCTCAAGGACACGGCGCAGCTGCAGCACGGCCTGATGGAGGGCGTCGACGTCGTCACCGAGGCGGCGACGGGGAAGAAGGTCGCCGCCGCCGCCGCGGCCAAGCCCCGCGCCGGGTCGCCCGCGATGGCGGCGACGGTCGGCTCGACGCCGCTCAACCGGCGCTTCGTCGTCGACTCACCTTCGCACGCCGCGCCGTCCGCCGTGCCGCCCTGCTCGCTGCGCGGCGGCGGCGAGGGCGGCCGCGCGCTCGAGGCTCGGCTCGGCGCCCTGCTCGCGACCGGCGGCGACTCGCGCTCGCGGCTTCACGAGAGCGGCGACAACGCGTATCACTGCCCGAGCGTGCCGGCGGCGGCGCAGGTCGTGCGCGGCTCGTGCACGGGCTCCCCGCCCGCAAAGGCGGGCTTCGAGTCTGCGCTCGTCGAGCTGCAGTCGCTCGAGTTCGCGCGCCAGCTCGGCGGCTTCGAGCAGGCCTTTGGCGACGCGATGGAGGGCGTGCGCGCGCGGCTCGCGTCGGCGCTCGGCCTGCCCGCCGGCAGCGGAGTGGTGCTGATGCCGTCGGGGACGGACGCCGAGTACATCCCGCTCGCCATCCTGCAGCAGCTCTACCCCGGCGCTCCGATCCGGTCGGTGCTCGCCGCCGCGGGGGAGACGGGCTCGGGCGGCGAGCGCGCGTGCGCGGCGCAGTACTTTGACGAGACGGTGCCTCTCGGGGCTGCGGCGCGGCAGGCGGGCGCGCGCCTCGAGGGCTTCCCTCCCGTCGAGCTGCGCTCCATCGCCGCGCGGTGCGGCGAGGGCGAGGTGGTCGACGCGGCGGCGGCGCTGTCGGAGCTCGAGTGGTCGCCCACCGACGCGGAGCCGGCGTGGCTGCTGAGGACCGTGGTCGGCTCTAAGACCGGCTTTGCGACGGCGCCGCTGGCGGCGCCGTCGGACCGCTCGCTGACGGTGCTCGACTTGTGTCAGCTGCGCGTCTCCGCGGAGGAGGTGCGGGCGGGGCTGGAGCAGGAGGCCGTGCTGCTCGTGACGGGCTCCAAGTTCTTCCAGGGCGCCGCCTTCTCCTCCGCCGTCATCCTGCCGCCCTCGCTCATGGAGCGGCTGCGGCAGGGCGCGCCCTCCGCGCCGCCGCTGCCGGCGGGGCTGCGCGACTTCCTCTCTCAGCACGAGGTGCCCGCCTCGCTGCCGCACTGGCGGGGGCAGCTCGGGTCGGACGCCAACCTCGGGCTGCTGCTGCGCTGGCACACGGCGCTGCCGTTCGTTGAGCGCGCGTTCCGCATCCCGGCCGAGGAGCGGGCCGCGCTCGAGGCGGACTGGATGCGGCGCGTGTCGGAGATGGTGGCCGAGGTGCCGGGGCTCGAGGTGCTGCACGCGGAGCGCGGCATCGTCTCGCTGACGCTGCGCAAGCCCGACGGCGCGTTGTGTACCAAGGAGGAGCTCAAGTGGGTGCACAAGCACATGGCGACCGACGCGTCCTCCCTCTGGTCGGGAGACGCCTCCCCGCCGCCCGAGGCGGCGACGCGCATCTTCATCGGCCAGCCCGTCGGGATCACCGACGAGTACGCCGCGCTCCGCCTCGCGATGGGCGCCGAGCTGCTGCTCGAGGCGCACGCGGGCGAGTACGACCCCGAGGTGGACGCGCGGGTGGTGCGCAAGCTGCGCTGGCTGCTGCGCGCGCTGAACCGCTCGCGCGCGCGCGAGGCGCTGCGCACGGCCGACGCGATCTGCTTCGACGTGGACGCGACGGTGATCCGCGAGGAGGGCATCAACCGGCTCGCCACGCACAACGGGTGCGGCGAGCAGATCGAGGCGATGACGGTGCGCACGATGGAGGGCGACACTCCCTTCCACGAGGCGCTGCGCGAGCGGCTCGACATCATCCGGCCGTCGCAGTCCGACGTGGCGAGTCTGATCGCGCAGAACGCAAAGGACGAGCTCCTCTCGCCGGGCGTCGCCGACCTCGTCCGCTCGCTGCACGAGTCGGGCCGCCCCGTCTTCCTCCTCTCGGGTGCCCGGACAGCCGCTAAGACCCATTCCCCTCCCCCCCCTCCCCCTGCCCCGGCCCCGGCCGCGCCCCTTGGACCGCGTCTGACGAGGCGGAAACCCCCCCCCCCCCCCCTTCCCCTAGGCGGCTTCCGGCAGATCATCAACCCCTTCGCGGCTCAGCTCGGCGTCGAAGAGAGCCACGTCTATGCGAACACGCTCCTCTTTGACGAGCAGGGCGACTACTCGGGCGTCGACCCGACCGAGCTCACCTCGCAGCCCTCGGGCAAGGCGCGCGTCATCTCGATGCTCAAGGAGACGCACGGCTTCGAGAAGGTGGTCATGATCGGCGACGGCGCGAACGACATGTCCGCGCGCGACTGCCCCGACCACGCCGCGAACGGCGCCGACGTCTTCATCGGCTTCGGCGGCGTCAAGGTGCGCGAGACGGTCCGGCAGGGCGCCGACTGGTTCGTCACCGACTTTAACGAGCTCTCGGCCGAGCTGTGAGCCAAGGGCTCTCTCTCTCTCTCTCTCTCTCTCTCTCTCTCTCTCTCTCTCTCTCTCTCTCTCTCTCTCTCCTTTCTCTCCTTTCTCTGGGGGCCGAGCTCCGGGCTCGGGCGGTTCGCTGGGACGCGAGGGCGGATGGGTGGCGAGAGGGGCGCAAGCAGACGGACGCCGGGAGGGCCGCACTGTCCGGCAGGCGCCGGGGAGGATCTGCACATTTCCCCGTGTCGCTTTGCCTTTGGCGCATCCGGTTGTGGGGTGGACGGGGATGGGGGCTGCGCGGGGGTCGTTGTCTTTGGAGGGCGGGATCGCGGCTGAGGACGCGGACCGAGAGGGGACGCTGTGGTCTGTGCCGAGGCATTATTTTTTATTTATTAATTACAGGGTGAGGAGGGTGAGTTGACCAGCGCGCGGTGAAATCGGGGGACGCCGCCACCGACGAGTGCGTTGGACTTTTCACTCCGGACAAAAACGGGGACACAGCGGACGGTGCGGGGTGTGTCCCCGTCCACTAGCCGAGTGCAACGGCTGCCCGACCGAGCCGTGCGCGCGTCCCCCGATTTCACCGCGCTGGTCAACTCACCCTCCTCACCCTGTATTTAACAACTTTTTTATTTTTAAGTCGAATCCGTAGAGAGAAGAGAGTACACGGGCACGTGGTCCCATCCCCGGCCCCTCCCCTCACCGCGCCGCTAAAGCCGTATGTCTCGCCGCGCACTCCATTGCGACGATGCGAGGCTTGCGCGCGCGATTTGCCAAACAGCGGAGACTCGACGAGTCTCGACGCGCGCTGCGTGACCGCGCACCTGCCGGCGGCCCGCCCCGCGGCTCCGAACTATCTTGCTAACTATCGCGGTATCGGGGAAGTGCGGCGGCATGGATTGCTGTGCTGCGCCGCGCACTGCCTGTCCGCTCGAAAGAGGACGCCAAAGGAAACAGGTTCACGCACCGCTCACTCCTCGGCGCCTGCCGGCAGGCGGGTGGCGATTTCCTGTATGATCTCCTCCTTCTCCATGCCTGGCGTGAACGCGATGCCGAGCCGATCCATCGCCTGCCGCAGCGCGCGCACCGGCAGCGAACGCAGTTCCGCGATGCTCGTCGGGAGGTGGCCGGCGGTGGCGTCTGCGGACGAAGCTGGAGGTGCGGGCGGCGGCGGAGGCATCTGCGCGCGGAGCTCGGCGTAGGCGGCGGCGATCGCATCCCCGTCGGCGAAGGCGAGCGGCGCGGCGCGCGGCTGGCGCCCGGGCACGATGAACATGCCTGCCGGGAGGGGAGCGAGCGGGTGGGCCGCGGGCAGGGGGGCGGGGGCGGGGCGGGGCGGGGGGGGCGGGGGAGGGGGCTAGGGCGCGGCGTGCCGAAGACCGCGGTGAAGCCGTGCATGCCCGCGCCGCCCACTTGGAAGGCGCGCGAGGGGGGCGCGTCTGCGAGCAGCGGCGGCCCGATCTCCCCGCCCGCATACATCCCGATGAGCGGCGTCGCGGGGAACGTCTTTGAGAAGGTGGTCGCGTCGAAGGCGGCCTCGCCTGCGGCGTGGCGCGGGCGTGTCTCGGCGAAGGCGGTCAGTCCGGAGGGAGGCAGTCCGGAGGCGCGCCGAAGAAGTTGTGCGTGCGTCCGTTGCACGTGAACATGACGGCGCCGAGTAGCCTCTCTCCCTTGCGCTCCGTCTCCGCCTTCATCGCCGCCAGCCGGGTGGCGAGGTCCTGCTTGCAGCTCTGCGGGTCGAAGGCGTAAAACTGGACGGCGCCGCCCTCCCACCCCGGGGCGTCGCCTCGGCGGGGCGCGAGCCGGATGGCGCCGCGCTGGGCGACCACCTGCGCACAGGTGGCGCAGGGGGGTGGAGGGGGGTAGCGGGGGGGGGAGGGGGCGCCCCTCCTGTATGGTGTGTGTGTGTGTGTGTGTGTGTGTGTGTGTGTGTGTGTGTGTGTGGTGTGTGTGTGGTGTGTGTGTGTGTGTGGTGTGTGTGTGTGTGTGTGTGTGTGTGGTGTGTGTGTGTGTGTGTGTGTGTGTGTGTGTGTGTGTGTGGTGCGCGCCATCTCGTTTGAGAGAAAAGTGAGCTCGTAGCCCTCGCCCGGCCGCTCCGCCACGCCCATGGTCGGCTGGCCTTGCGAGCAGCCCCGCACCACCTCGAGCACCGTCGTCAGTGCGCCCTGCCGCTCGCCCCGCGGGTCGGTCAGGTGCGTCAGGATCTGCTGCTCCTCCGGTGCGTCAGGATCTACGTCCAGGTCCGCCTCGCCGAAAGTGTACGGGCCCTCGCCCACCACCCTCGCCCCGCGCGACACGAAGGCGGCGAGCGGCACGTTGCCACTGAACATCATCCCCACCGCGCCCTCGTCGACGACGGAGGCCGCGCCGTGCCGCAGGCGGTAGAGCACGTCGCCGGTCGCCATCCCGCCGATGATGGCGGCGTCGGGGTGCGCCGCCTGCAGCGCGTCGACCAGCTCGTCCGCCTCGTTGGTTCGCGCGATGAGGAGGAAGACCTTCCAGCCTCCCTCGAAGCAGCCCTGCGCCTTGAGCTGCGCCTCCCACCCGCCCGGCGCCGCCGCGTCGAAGGCGAAGCTCTTGCAGCTCGCCGCTGGGAAGCGGCCGAGCGAGAGGGCGGCCGCGTGCTGCGCGCCGGCGTGCGGGCAGACCGTGTTGGACTGGACGAGCGCGCCGCTGCTCGCCTGCGTGCCCGCCACCACGCCCATCTGCCCGCCCACCAGCTCGAGGCCCGGCGGGAGCTTGCGCGCGAGGGAGCCGAGTGTGCCGGTGGGCGAGGCGTCCCGCTGGGCGTGCACGGTGAAGAGGAGGCCAAGGCTGGGCGCCGCGGCCATCTTTGGGCCCAGATCGCGCATCACGACGTCAAACGAGCCGACCGAAGTCGCCATGAAGGGAGTTGTCCGCTCGAGCTCCGACACGAGCAGGTAGAAAAGCTTGCAGACCTGGCGGCAGCGCGCCTGCTCTCGAAGTGGGAGAGTCTGCACCGCCTCGAGGAGGAGCTCCGGGTCGAGGTCGAGGAGGGAGATGGACTCGGCCGCGGCGGGGGCGGCGATACTATCGGCCATGTGTGTGTTTGTTCACAGCCTGGGAAGAAACACAGCGAGGAGTGTGTGTGTGGGGGGGCCCAGAGATAAAACTTCTGATGCCATGCGTGACCTAGTAGTGTCCCCAGCTATGGGCGTGTCCACGTTGGAGCCAGGTGTGGTGTGGGCGCGAGAATAGCTCCGCCGTTCATGGAGGCAACCGATGCGAGTCGACTGGTGTGTGTGAGAGAGATTTTTGTTCTGGTGTGTGTCGTCGTGGTTTCGTATCAAGAATACTCACTCACTCACTCACAGCGAAGATCGTGATAGGCTGACCGAAATCCAGTTATAATTCTAGAGTCGCTGCCGCAACCCTAGAATTTAACGGTGGATTGATTTCAACCCTATCACCACCCCCTCTGTGTCTCGCCCCCCTGTAGTAGCCTACTGTAGTACACTCGTATGGATTAGTATAGGCGTAGTACATGTAGCGGCGTTCGTTGTTTGTACGCCTACTTCGTAGTGCGTTCGAGACCAGTTCGAGACCTAGTAGTAGTAATTTAGTATGGTACAGGAGCACTATTTTGCTAGGTCCGTGCGGTGTGTTAGGCGGCGCTTCGGGAGAGAGATTTTTAGCAATACCAAACAACTCTAACACTCACACGTCATTTGGGGCCTGGAGCCCCTGCCCTGTTCACGCGCGCGCGAGACGTGCAGACAGGGTTGCCAGGTTTGTCGCTTCGGTGGCGGTGTAGCCGCCGAGTAGGGGGCTAGGGGCGAGTGAAGCCCGACATCGTCTACGCGTACGCCTGACTCCATACTCCGCTATCGGCAATACAAAAGACATTACGCGGGCAGGAAAAGATATTACGCGGGGCAGGTGTGAAAACGGGCTACCCCGACACGGGGGTAGTCGCACGCCCCGCCCGCTGCCGATCCTGTGGCACCACTAAAAGAAAGGGACGGAGGGCCGGCCACGCCCGAGACGAGCTCGAGCGAATTACCTCCGACAGTCACGTAAACGTGGGCTCGTCCAGGATCAGGCAGCGAGCGAGGGCAGCCGCCCTCCCCACCCACCACCGGCGGCGAGCCGCCAGCAGGAACCTCCAACAGGACAGAGCCTTTGGCTCTGCCAACCTCTGCGGCCCGCGCCACGCGGGCGCCGCGATCCGCCTCTCGAGCGCGCGCCGCCGCGGCCCCCGCCGCCAGCCGCCGCCCGTCGCCGCCTCCCGCTGCTGAGCTCGTACCAGCCCTGTAGCGAAAGGAGGCAGCAGCTGCAGCTGCAGCTGCAGCAGCTTCTGAGCGCCAAGCGCAAGCGCGCGCGGGCAGCGCAGCTAAATTTCGGCGGCTAAAAAGCAAAGGACGGGCGCTTTTGATCGGCAAAGCAACGTTGGAGTAACGGCGACCGCGTCGCCACAATGCCAGTCGCCTGTCGAGCAGCCTTGGCGGCGCGCATGCGCCGCAGGGTTGACCGACAGCCGCGCGCCTCGAGCCTCTCGCTCCACTCGCGGCACGACGCGCCCCGCGCGCCGGTCAGCGCAGCAGGAGTATTGCGACATGCTGCACAACGCCAGGGACAGCACTGAGAAGCTGGCGCCAGTCGCCCACCAGCATGTCTCAGCACCGGGTGAGGGAGCATGCTGCGCACGCTGAAGCAGCACGAGGTCACCACCAATCAGGCCCTCACGCCACCGCACAGCCGCCCTCGAGCACCAGCAGCCGCGCTGCGCCATGCTCAAGCTCAGGAGGCCACCCTGCTTCTCGCAGCTTTGTGCAGCGCAGCGAGCGAGCAGCGCCGCACCAGGCGGACCCATGGCGTGCTCAGCCAGCCGTGAGGCGGAGGCAGGCCGAGTGAGCGCGAGCCGCGCGGGAGGCCATGCCCCGCGCACCGGCGAGCGAGTGGCACGAAAGAGTGCAAGTCGCGCAGCTTTTGCGTAACGGTTCAGTCCCAAAACTCTCTCTCTCCCAAGTTTAAGCATGAAGGAGAGGAGTGTGATACTAGCCATCGCGTGTCTGCCTCTTCGCCCACCGACTTAGTTTTCTTTTTTCTTGGCTTCCACCTCACAGTACAGACCGGCGCCGCCTCCACACCGAGATCTTCTTCGCGTACCTCGGGCGGTACATCACCAAGTACGAAGGGCGCGGGCTGCCGACGCCGTTGGACGAGAGCCTTTTGGCGCAGGTCCACCGCACCGTGACGAAGCCGTCTGCGACGATCGCCAAGGAGCTAGCGGCGGCCAACGCGCGCTCGTTGAAGCTCGAGTCCGAGGTCTCGGACCTCAAGGTGCAGCTACAGCAGGTCCTCCTCGCCAGCGGTGGGCACTTTGCCAACGAGCGCTTTTATGGCAAGTGCCATTGGTGTGGCCAGAAGGGCCATCGCGAGAGCGATTGCCCGGCCAAAGCCCGCGGCGACGCGCGTATCTGACTTCCCTCGCTAGGCTGGCTCGGACCTTCGCCCGCGGCTGCGGGCTCCGGAATTAACACACCCGGGGCTCGTGGCGGCTGAGCTGGGTCCTGGCTTGCCGCCTCGGCCGCTGCCCCGACACATGAATCAACCCGCCGCAGTCCCGCTCAGGGGGGAGGTGGGTCGACGAGACTTTCGGGGCCGCCGCTGGGAGCGAGATGGTGCAAAGTGCAAGTGGAGGCACTGGATGGGCTTCACTCTACGTGCCGTCTTCCGTGGTGAGGGCTCACTGGTGACGGGCCCTCACCACACTGCTCAGTCGCGCCCTCAGCTGGTCTAATCGTGTGACGGTCGGCGTCTCCGGGCCAGCTGAGGTGGAAGGCAAGTGCTCTCATGGATGGATCGGTTTTCTCTATGACCGGACCATGGGACAGTGACAGGGACAGGGTTCAAAGGGATTTTGGGTTCAGATTTGACTTCGGGGCTCGAGGCCGAGCCAACTTCGAAGCCAGCGTCCAGGCTCCGGGCCGCCTCTAGGGGCAGCCGGTGCGGTGGAGTGGACTCTTCACTGCAGGACACGTCGGGGATCTTTGTCGGGTGACGCGGTCAGCCATGAGAAGTGGACTTGCGACCGCGAGCGGTGAGAGGGCATGGCTTTGCCCTCGATCTACTCCGCTTCCAAAATGGCTCCTCCCACCGCCCGCGCGGGGTCAACCCGTGAGCAGCCGTGGGCGGATCGAGCGCCATGGGGCCTACAGACTTTACCGAGGATCGGGGCGCAGCAGGGAACTGCGCCGGGAGCCGGTACGCGGCGCGGCGTGCCAATCTGAGATGCAACAACTTGTTTGGTGCAGTGGCACTCACCGCGTGGCTTGGAGATCGACAATGCCAGAGACAGTGGCGTTGGCGATTCTCCGGTTTGGATCAAGGTGCCATCGGGCAATCTGGATAAACTCACATTGCTGGGAACGATCACACCTTGGTCGAGTGGCTAAGGGGTTGGGTGCGCTCGCCCGAGGTCCTAACCAGGCCTCAGGCCAGCGCCCAGGGGTCTCAGACCTTTGGCTTTCCCCCCCTATGCTATTGTTGGTCGTGACGACCATTTCGATTGGTTATCGTACAAGTTCGCCAAAGCCTCGACACACTCATGACGATCGGCTGGCGACCCGCTAGGGTCGACAGTTGAGCTAGGGAGTGTGGCGATGGCCGCCCAAATGCGAACGCAGGAGATAAGATGCTTTGCGGCGACGTACCGTGGGAAGGTTCAAGTCGGCGCTCGGTTTCATTACAAGGCTCCTTGTCACGTGGAAGTTCTACGTGCGTCCTCGGGGCCAAGGCGCGGCCGAGCTGTTGGAGAGAGACAGAGGTCTCTCTCGTTGCGCGTTTCCCCACCCGCCCGCCCTGTGATAGTTTCTTGCCCACCCACTGTCTGGTGTGCGGGTTGTCTCTGTTGTGGGGTTGGGTGCGCTCGCCCGAGGTCCTAACCAGGCCTCAGGCCAGCGCCCAGGGGTCTCAGACCTTTGGCTTTCCCCCCCTATGCTATTGTTGGTCGTGACGACCATTTCGATTGGTTATCGTACAAGTTCGCCAAAGCCTCGACACACTCTGCCGAGCCTCTGTGCCCAGCCAATCACCACGGCTCGCGCAGATGCCCATGGTGCCAGCCAACGTATCGATCGTAAGCCGGAAATGCTGTGCGGCAACACATCTCGCTTGTGTGCCGCACCAGCTCTCATGTCGGCCTCAGTGCCGCACTGCTCACTCCGTGCACTCACCGGTCGGTACCATGTCAGGAGACGGAACACGGAGGAGCTGTATAGGTCACTAGAGACCCACACCATCGCTACATCACCACAGCCACCAAGTCGGATACAAGTCGATGACAATGTGCGCGGCAGGACAAACCAAACATGAGACGGTTACACAAGGACGGTCAGGCTACGGTCAGGAAGTAGGTTTGAGTTCACACTCTCCAACACAAAACGCTCTCTCTCCCAAGTTTAAGCATGAAGGAGAGGAGTGTGATGCTAGCCATCGCCCACCCATCCGTGTCTGCCTCTTCGCCCACCGAATTCTCGCAGCGACCATGCGGTTTTGTGCCTAGGTAGGTAGGTAGAAAGGTGAAGAACAGATCGGCGCGAGCAGTCGCTCGAGGGGCTCTACTGGCTGGCGGTGCTCAAGGGGAAGGCGTACACGCTGGCCGAGGACACGGTCGTCAACACCGACACCATCCCCGCGGGCTATCTCGTGGTCAAGGCGCAGTGGCTCAGGCTCGAGCAACGCGAGTGCGAGGGCAAGCTTCGCTCCACACGCTGCTCGAGGCCGAGACGCTCATCATCGTGAATCACATGGTGCGGCTGGCGGGCTTGCGCTTCTCGCCCGGCCCGGGCGGCCCTGCGGACCGCCAGCTGAGGAGCGCGCGCGAGAAGCTCTATTATATTGGCCTACAGAGACGCATTACTCGCTCGAGGCGTGCTGCAGTGTTTGGAGGTGTCGGTTTGTGCAAAAATGTGTGTTAGAGAGCGCCTAGATGGCAAAATTTTCTTCGCCTCCGGCGGGGCCGCTCGCCGCGGGGCTAGAGAGTGACTTTTGTCGATGTTGGCTAGAAGTGCTGCACGTTTTTCAGAATTTCACCCCTCCCTTCTCGGCTGTCTGTGCTTGTGCGTCTTGGGTCCGGTTGTGTTTTTTCCGTCGCCTCTTCCACACGCATGACACGTCACATGACAGAGTGTCCCTTGAGGCCTTGTAGCGCGAGAGAGTGCGCGGCAACGTACCGCAGGGAGCTAGCTGCACACCCCGCTCTCCCCGCCCGGGCCGGTCCCTCCTCCGCTCCCCTCCCCACCCTCCGCGGGCCTGCATGCCATCATGCGGCACAATGCGCCGTCGGCGATGGAGTACAGCATGGAAAGCTACGAGCCCACGACGCCCTCGACCGTGACGACCGTGGCCGCATTCAGCGGAGGCGGCGACGAGCAAACGAGGCACGTCAACGGTGCGCCGGCCGGGCAGTGCTGCTCGATGCACCCGCGGCAAAAGGCGTGGCCGCACGCCGCCGTGACCGGGTCGGCGGTGTCCTCGAAGCATGAGTCGCACATCGCAGCAGACGGCGTGCTCGGCCCCGCCTCCTCCGCCGCGGGCCGCACCCAGCACGCGTCCAGGACGCGCTCGGCGGAGAGGCAGAAGGCGAGGCAGCCCGGCGCGGCGGGCGAGCGCGACGACTCAATGTAGCCGTCGGCGGGAACCTTGAAGAGGGTGCGCTCGCAGGCGTCGGTCGCCCGCGCGTCGAGCTTGGCCTCGTCGGGGCTGCTGCTGCTGGTGAGGATGAGGTTGAGGTTGGACGAGACGGGCGTCTCCTGTTCCAGTCAGGGCGTGTGAAAAACGCGACGGAGATGGCAGCGCGAGGGCACAGCCTAACGCGCCGACTGCGCCGCAGTCTTCCGGCGGAGCGCGTCGCTCACGGCCATGCGCGCGAGCACGTCGCGGCCAATCTCGCCGAAGTTGCTGGCCGTCAACATGAAGGCGGGGACCAGGCGCGCGCACGACGTCGGCGACGTCGTGTCGAGGATGCTGACCGAGCGTTCGAGGCCGCCCCTGCGGGCGACGGGCAGTTGTCTTTCTAAACGTGTCTTGACTAAATGTGTCCGACACCGGCGCGCACCCGCTCGGCACGACGGTGAAGAGGGGCGCGATCCGCTCCGAGACGTACTTCATCTTCATCGACGTCGACGTCTCCATGTCGTGGGAGGCACGGATGATCACCTGCGCGCGGACCTGCGCGTATTTTTG